TGTGACTTTGTCATTAGTACCGATGTGTACAATGACCCCTGGGTCCTCCCCAGCCCCTCCCACCAATCTGTCCATCCGATCCGCAATGTGCCGACCCAGAGCACCCGGTAAACAACATACTGTTTGGAGATAGCGGCCTATCTGTTCTGTTCCAGCACTGCTACCCCAGAACTGATATCCCCAGCATCATGCAACCTTGCATATTATTGGGATGTAACAATTCTGTACTAGCCTCTCTAACACTTTTTCCCCTACCCTGTCTTTTAATAGTATCCCAGCTACCCATCTCTATCCTGCACCTCCAGTTCACCACCCTCCTCAATACCATCCCCATCTAGTACCTGATTTGTCAGGTCTAAAATCTTCTCCCTGTAACCACTCTGTTATCTTTCCCTATCTATTCCACATCTCCAGCAAACACTGACAAAAGGCTGCTAGGATCCCTGACTTTTATAGGGAGCTGGAACATAAGAAAGCCCCAATAATTGGGCTTTCTAAGCCACCTGCCACAGTTGTGTTCTTAGGACTGCATAATTGGTAATTGGTTGCTTTGGACATGTACAACTGAATTTGTTTGCTATTAAATTATGCCATTGAACCACAAATGACTTGGGTTCAGGTCAAATTCGTGTTAGACTATATGAGACCCTAGCAAATCAACATATATAATGTATTCTAGTGTATATTAAATTTCTGAGGGAATTATCTAATAAGGATATGGATATATATTAAATAACTGAATTTATATCTAAGATTCTTTAGGATGTGTGTTAGGCCTATTGCGGTGGCAGATGTGTGCACCTTGGTGAATAATTAATTATAAGGGTCACAATGGGGTTTGTACTGCAGAACTTTAAACTATTGATTTATTATGATGTTATTTGTACTGATTTTTATTAATTGTATAGCTATTCAGGGGCGTCCCGAGGTCGGGTGTCACCCGGTCTCTGGGTGACACTCCGCTGTGTCGTCATCATGCGTGCACGTGACATCACCTAGCGCATGCGCAATGACGTCATCGCGCATGTGCGACCATCTGATTGATGCCTGCCGGCAGCCATCTTGGTGATGGACGCCGGCAGAGAGAGGAGGGGAAGTTCACCCGGCGTGATGAGGTATACCGCCGGGTCCCCTCCTGTCGGGCTCTCAGTCCATGACCGAGTGCCTGACTTTTTAGAGGGGGGTGACACCCGGGTGCAGGCCGCAGCCCGCTTGTGGCGCCACTGTAGCTATTACTTTGATGTACTCACATTTTATAAAATAACTTCCTAAATGGTTTAGGATAGTAATATAGTTATTTTTATATCCTTCATATGTTTTAGCATTTTGGTTGCTAATTATAAAAATATCATACAAAAGGGGCTGTGTTTTTTTGTTTTCCTTTAAAGGAGAACTATGAGGTGAGGGACCTTTTTCCATGCTTCGGCTCAGACAAGCCGATGTGTATGCCTTCGGCTCGACTGAGCCGCTTGGCTGCTGTACGGGCTATTGTGAATAGCCCGTACAGCAGCCCTTCGGTTCGACTGAACCAAACGGCTTTGGGAGCCGAAGAGAGCCAAAGGATCAGTTGAAGCTACAGCTGCAGCCTTCGGTTCCATAGTGAACTTAACGTATTGGTCTTAGCGCAAAACACATTGAGGGAAATTTTTCAAAACTGGAGCAGACAGAATTTGGAGATGTTGCACATCAGCTAACTAATCAGCTTCTCTCTTCAGTTAAGTTTTGAAAATGAAAGAGAGAAGCTGATTGGTTGCCATGAGCAACTGCTTTATACTCTGTCTACTCAAGTTTTGATAAATTCCCCTCATTGCTCATTAAAAATCCAACATTGCTTATCAACCTGACAACACAATACTCACAGTAAAGCTGGTGAGAGCACCATATCTATGATGGCAAGATTGTTTAGAAAGCCTAGTGTCCTAAATTTTGTGCTTTGTGTTCTGGACAGGTGGCAGAAGATAAACATAGGGGGTTTATTTTTTTTAAAGAGTAAAGAATTTTTACTTTGCAGAGCACATGTTCATTTAGCATAGAGAATAAGGGCTTCTGGCTGCTTTTATCAGGAGCTATCTTTTGCATGTTTAATTGTAGTTGCACAAGAACATTCCTTTTTGCTGAAAGTTTATCCTAGAAATGTTTGTCCATGAAATGCCCCCAATTTGTATTTCATATAAGTGGTCATAACTGCATTGCATTCTTAGAGAACGTATTGTACAGATTAGACATGTGCGTCTGCAAAAAATTGTTTAGTTTCTTTTTTATTCAGATTTTTCGTTATTTCCTTTTTTTGGACTCAGGTCCCAAAGTCAATTTGTTTCGGGATTCGGATTCGGACAATATCAGAATTTTCATTAGTGGTTCGTATGTACGAATTGTCGTCACAAACTAATTTTCATTGCAGCAAAGTGACAAAAGGAAAAAAAAACTTTTTTTTATAATCCGCAGAAGAAAAATTAGGAGAGTGTCCCCATGCCAATGGCAATGGGGACAAGGGCCTCTTTCCTACAACCCTGGCCCAGTGGTTGTGGGGGCCTGTGGGCAGGGGGGCTTATTTACATCGGGGTTTCCTTTTATATAACGGAGCACCCAGATGCCACCCCCCCTTTTGAATGAGTAAGGGGTACTTGTACCCCTACTCATTCACTAAAGGGTTAAAAGTAAATGTAAATAAACACACTACAGTACACATTTTGAAAAAGTCCTTTAATTGGAAAAAAAAGTCAGTTTGTGACAAGTCCTTTAAAAAAAAAGTTACAAAAATGGATCTATTGATGTAATCCAGCATCAATCACGATGAACGATGCCTGCCAAAATAAAAATTTCTAACCGCACATCGATCTATCGGAACCCGACGAAGACTCGCTGCAAAATTACAGCTCCGGCCTGAATGTAAACAAATGGGCAAAGTGAGGCGTGACGTCCATTTGACATTCTGAGCTGCCATATAATACGAATAGCATTCAGGAACTCCCGAATGCTATTGTGAGTTAACGAATGCCATTCAGGTCTGGGAACCGAGGTTTCATAATGCTATTCATGGGGGGAACCTCACACTTTTTTTTTTCTTCTGCAGGCTGTAAAGAAAAAAAATGGGGATTTCTTTATTTTGTCTAATGTCAGTTTGTTGCAACGAAAGTTTGTTCGTAACGAAAAATCATACATAGTACCGCTAACGGAAATTTGCATTTGTTTTTTTTTTTAAAGTTGATGCTTAACACAATAAAACTTCATTCCGGAAAGAAATTCGGATGCATCCAAAATTTCGTTATTGCAAATCCGTATTAGTTTGCATTAGTTATTTCTGTTATCAGAAATTTGGATGCGTCCCAATGTACGAATTTCTGAAAATATGTCCGAATAACGGATCTTTAATAGCTAACTTTTCCCAGCAGGTTGACAGCTAGCTTTGTGCAAATATAAAAACGATGGGGTCTAGTCACTAAGCTGCCGTAGGCAGCCGAGTGAATGACCGACCTAAAGCGAAGTGAGCTGAACGCTGTTCGGCTATTCACTTCAGGCTGGTACGGCTGATTTCAGCCGTATACCGGCTGAAATCAGCCGTACATTGGGTGGCTTCAGGTCAGCCAAACATGCTCAGCATGCTCGGCCGACCCAAAATGCAGAAGGAGTTTGACTCAGCCGATCCAACATCTCTGGCAGGCTACTCGCTGCTGTTCGGTCTATTCTTATAGATGCCGAACAGCAGTGAGTGAATCTGTGGTACCAAGCAGAACAGAAAAATAGTTTAAAAAGTAGAAAAAAATAAATAGAAAATGATTGTGCGGAGCTAGCAGTGACAGCTAGCTCACCCCAACTGTTTTCTATTGGCCGGCGGTTCTGCTGCGACACTGGAGATCAGTGTCGCTGGTTAGCTGGTAACCAGGGACGCTGATCTCTCTGCAAGTGGCCAGAGCCAGCCGTAACATCACGGCTGGCCCCGCCCAGCTGTCAGAGGCAGGCTGTCGGTCGGCCAGCTTCGGCTTTCAGCACGGCCCAGCCGAGCCGAGGCATATGCGTTCGGCTCGACTGAGCCGCTCGGCCAAGTTTGGGAGCTGTACCGACTATAGTGAATAGCCCGTACAGCAGCCCTTCGCTTCTACTAAACCGAAGGGGTCCTGGGGCCGAAGCTAGCCGAAGGATCGGCTACGGCTAGATCCTTCCGCTGCTTCGTGAATAGGCCCCATATGTTATTATGATTACATATTGCATTGCATATGGGAGTGGCAAGCACAACACAGTGTAATGGTACATGCTGGTTGCATCATACACTTTTCTGGTAATAGCTTGCTGTACTGTTTAATATGATGTGGAACTGACATATTTTATTTACTAGGGCTAGAGGCTACCACAGTGAGTTTTACTGAGTTGAAAAAATGAACAAAAATGTTTATTAGCAAAAATAAAATAGTCCTGAGCTTTGCATAGCCCTTCCCAAATGTACAGCCAGGCTGATGACCTGACTCTTCTTCTGCTGCAAATAAGCAATAAAGCTTGGTCATCCAGCTGTCCCCAGCCTTTGATTAGACAGAGAAACAGTTGCCTCCTCTGCTCACTCTGCTTGGCCTGTTCTCAACATGTTCCTTGTCAGCACATGAGCATGCAGCACACCTCATTGGCATCAGTGATGCCCAATGATGCCCATCACATTCCCAGTCTGTGTGTGCTGTTGTGCAGGTGATTACAAGGCTTGTATCAAGTCATATTAAGGTACCTAATCAAGCTTTTTTTTAAAAGTATTAATATTTTATTAACTTTAATAAATAGATAACCACATTTGTTTTTTGTTATACCTGCCTGGCATTCATCTGCATACTGTATGTACACTATGAAGAATAATGTGTAATTATCACTATTTGGGTGTTTGCTTTTGTGTATCAGCTTGGCTGTTGTTGTACAATTGTTTTAGCGGAAAATAATACCATATCTTTTTCTGTACATCATAGAATCTGTCTGAATAAAGAAAAGAAACATACGCAACACAGCAGGCTGTCAGAGGAAAGATGGATGCAAGAGGAGCAGGAGTAGAGGAGGGTGCACAGAAGAAAAAAAGGAGACCTTTAGTGCCACCATCCCCACGTCCTCCTCGAGCATTATTCTGCCTTGGACTTCAAAACCCATTTAGGAAAGCTTGTATAAACATTGTGGAATGGAAGTATCCTTTGCTATGTCAATGTTTTAAAGTATTTATTAGGTACTATAAACAGGAGATCTGGGAACACAGTCTCAAGTACAATTTATATTAATATATGTTACAAATTGGCATAAAAGCCAGAAACATACAAATATTTGTCAAGGCATTTATATAGCACCAACAGAGCTCTACATACTGTACATTCATATTAGTCTTTTAACCCCGGGCTTGTTTACACCATCTCCATACTAGATCTGGATCTGTTTCTGGAAACGTGTCTATGTACGTTTCTGATGCGTTCCAGCGCAATTTTTGTCTCAGTAAGAATTTCTAGTGCATTTGCATACATTTTGGTGCATTCCAGACCAGAAACAAATACATGCAGTACTTTTTTTTTTTTAAGTTCTAGAAATGAATGCAAAGGTGTGAACTAACCTCAATTTTTTCCATAGGAATGAATGGGTACATGTTTTTGGACCAGACAAAAAACATTCTGATCTGGATCTGGTTTGGAGATGTGAAGTAGTGATGGGACAAACACGCCCGGGTTGGAATTCGAACTTTAGAACATGGAAAAAGTTTGAATTCAAACTCAATGCTAGTCTATGGGGCTAGAACTTTGAAAATCAATTGTCTCCATTTTGAAGGCTTATATGCAAGTTATTGTCCATAAAAAGGGTATTGGGATTCGGGTACTGCCCTGGGGGACATGTATCCATGAAAAAGTCAAAAACATTTATCCATGAAAAAGTCAAAAAAACTTTTGAAAAATAAAAAATTTTAAGGAGCAGTGATTATAACATCACTTAAAGTGAAACAATAAAAAGTAAAAATTCAAAAGACGGCATGTTAGCATCCCCCAATCGCGCGCAGCGCGCGGCACGCGCGAGTGGGAAACTACCAAAATGTAAAAACAGGCAGCGATGCCTGTTTACATACAAGCGATCCGCCGGCTCTATAGCCGGTGGATCGCTTGTATAAGGTACCGGTGTGTGCGCCCCCTCCCGCTGTCCCGGGCTCCGCTGTGCCCGGTGCGAGCCCAGGACCAGCATGGGGGTTCTGTGACAGGGGATCAGAGAGAGATCAGTACACGATCTTCCTCTTCGGTGTCAGAATGAGGAAGTGATGTATATTACATCACTTCCGCATTCTTTTGTCACTCTTCAGCTTCAGAAGCTGGAGAGAAGCTGATGAAGCAGATCTCTGCTTCATTAGCTTCTTTGGGGGGTCCTAGGTGATATTAAGGGTCTTGGAGACCCCTGATGTCTCCATAAAGAGGACCTGTCACATCTATTTGCTATCACATAGGGGGTTTCTTAGCCTCCTATGTTATAACAATAAAGTTAAGTGAACTTTATTTTTTTTTTTTTATTAAAGTCACACATGTCGCCTATGGTCAATTTTGGCTATGGTAGTTTTTTTTGCGATTTCGCGGGTGCATGCAACTTTAAGGCACCCGCGCAATGATTGCGGGTGCTCGTAATGACCACGGATGGCGCCGTCCTCAATATAGTAATGTAGAAAATGTCACCAGCACTCCAGCACGACACAGATTCCATTTATTGATGCTAATGAATACTCAGAGTAACATCAAGCACTTTCGGGGCCACGCAGGGTCCCCTTCATCAGGCTCAGAGTAAACTGGTGACATTTTATACATTACTACATTTACCCGACGTGACCCCATCTTTTATATTTTACCAAAACATTGGGCAAAATAAATGTATTGTAACATAATGTTTAAAAAAAACGTATTTTTTTAAAAATTTTCAGTAATTTTTCCTTAACCAGTTGACATCCGCGGTGTTAAACCATAAAATAAGTGGTGATTAAATACCCCCAGAAGAAAGCTCTATCTGTCCCCCAAAAATGGTACAACATTTATTTCAGTAAAGCATTGCATGACGGAATAAACGTCAGTCAAAGTACCGCAGCGCTGAATACTGAAAAATGGCCTGGCCAGGAAGGGGGTGTAAACACCTGGTCTTCAAGTGGTTAAATATTGTGCCTGGGGGGTTCTCTTAAACTGCCTGTAAAGTCGTGCATCTGTACAATGTTTAGAACCTGCTGCAGCAAAAATGACATTTGTAAAGAAAAAAATGACATTTAAAAAGGGAAAAAAAGCATGCGGTTCCCCTTCCCAAACAATACCAGGCCTTTTAGGTCTGGTAGGAATGTTAGGAGGGAGCCCATATAAAAAAAACAAAAAAAAATGTGTGGGGTTCCCCCTCAAAGTCATACCAGGCCTTAAATAAAAGTTTTTAAAAAAAGGCCAGACTTTTGAAAAAATCCTTTAATTGAAAAAAACTAACAGACAAGTCTTTTATTAAAAAAACAAAAAAGACTTGATCCACCGACGCAATCCAGGGTCAATCACAACGTCCAGCGTTGTCCACGACGACAATGCGACGAAAAAAAATATAACAAGAAAAAATAAGTAGAAATAATAATAATTAGAAAAAAGATGCCTGCCGACCCTTCCGCTCGAGACTAACTCCCGCCGCAGAATGGCATTCTGATAGTTGCCGGCAACATATAAACATTTGGGCGGAGCTAGCGGTGACAATGCAATTCAATTCAATGCAATATGGTGACCTGTACACAGTTGGTGTATGGAATACCCCCAGAAATGTCACTTCTGCTTCTGTGATGGTTTTCCCAGAAGTCTGCACTAACATACAAGTACAATTTTTGTCATACCTTGCAATAGGAATTTCATTTTTGGTGAGGTACTCCCTAAGGGTTACTAAAGGGATGCAGACACTGCACCTTTCTCTATTACAACACAGGAAGCCCACCAGATAGTTAAAACAAACCCAAACCCTCCCATTCAGGGATTTGTTTGGAAAGGACATGCTGCAACAAACAGCTTTTTGTTCAGAACAGACACAGGTAGGAAATTGCAACAAAGTTTGTTAAAATCCTTGTAATGAACATTGATCATCCAGAGGGGATTTAATTTTTTCTCAACAAAAGTGGAAGACTTTTAATTCAGCCAATTGTGCTGATAGTGGTACATATAAAGTAGAAAAAAAAAATCTATTTTGTCCTTTGTTGGGGTTCTGTTGAGGACCCTACAACGTAATTTACTGAGGTAAAAAGGATATCTCTGACTAAAGGACTTCCTCTAAATGATAAGACGTTATTGTCCTTAGCATGCTAGACCCTGTCTCATATGTCCTATGTGGGATTTATTACCAAATTAAAAAATGTCTAATATATTGCATGGGCCCCAAAGTATTTAATTTGTAAGTTTTTTAGCATATATTATGAAAAGTTATATTTTATGATAATTGTGACTGTGTTCCCAGATCTTATATTTACAGTTCCTGTTAAATAAATAGTTTTACCAAAAGAGATGGTTTAAAATAACAACTATAAACTATACACATATAATCAACATTTCTGTTGACCCTCTAAAGCTGACTATACACATTGCAATCTGTTTGCAATTTAGAAAATGTAGTGCAAATGTATGTTTAATTGAGTACAGATTAAATGCATTGTTTGGGAATGTATTTTAGAAAAATTAGGAGTTTTTGCCATCTCTGAAAAATGCATTGGAGCCAGTGAGAAATGCAAATTTAAGGTTACGTTCAAGGGTGCATTCAAGGGTGCTATGGGCTTTAAATAGCTCCTTTGGGTTAGGTAAATTCCTTTCAACTACACTAATCCTGTTTTGTACCAAAGAATCGTCCCTCAAATTCTAAGAGCATAGAGCTGAGAGCTTTTTTAGCTTTTTTTTTTTACTTGGTGCTTTCTAAGTATTTCTTTCTAAGCGCACATCAACTTCACCTAGAAAGAAATACAGTGGCAGCTCTTAGTAATATGACTATGTTTATAAAAAGCTAATGACCAACATGTAAGCATTGTACATAGTTCCCATGTTACTGAAAAGTAAAGGGGAATAACAGTGCTTCCGACTCTTCTCAATACTATCTAAAGGTAAAAAAAAAGTTAGCTGGAGGTTTACTTTAAATCCAACATCACTGTAGATGTATATAATATTTATTTGTTTTACTGTGCTTGATATTGATCCAATGCTATACACCAAAATGGTATAATGTAGTGTCTTTATTTTAATGACCACAAAAGCTCATATTTCCTTTGACTCCTTGATGCTAGACCTTTCGAGATGATTATTCTTCTTACCATTTTTGGCAACTGTGTGGCTTTAGCAGTTTTCTTGCCGATGCCAGAGGATGACACCAATTCCACCAATTCTATCTTGGTAACAGCGTTTGCCTTCTCATTTTCTGTTTAACTGATAACTCAAGAAAAAAAGCATATTTATGATTAGATAAGAAATAATCTGCAAATTAAATAAATATAAAATCAGACAGTAGTATAGATAAAGTACTATTCTTTAGATATTTTATCTCCAGTGACCATACAAAAGAACAAGTATTCACATTTTTACTGCAAGGTAGGTGGCTTACCATAGACATATGCACCCAAGATACAGAATCCTTGCCTTTTTTTTCTAAATGCCTTCACATTAGGTTTCACTTTGGTCAGACGAATTTGTATAAAAAAAGGTTGATGTTAAAAATACATACCTCAGATGTTTGGATACTGAACTGTGTCTATTTCATATTCTAATTTACAGGAGAAGATTGAGTATATCTTCCTATTTATATTTACTATTGAAGCAAGTTTGAAGATTGTAGCCTACGGATTAATATTACATACGGATGCTTACCTTCGAAATGGCTGGAATGTTCTAGATTTCACTATTGTTTCTGTAGGGTAAGGATAAATACAGTATGAAAACTGTTTATAGAACTAAGAGCTTTCTGATAAATGTGTTAGTGATGTAGGCTTTTCTGCTCAAATTGTAATATCCCTATATTTATTGGCTGCGAAATCCAGAAAGCCTATTTGTTTTTGCCTCAGGGACCAATCAAAATTGATAGTCACAAACTATGGTAGTTTCAGCTCTGTGTATCCAATAGGAGAGGATTACCGAAAAGACTATATAAGAAGCCAGACCTGGTGAGCGGCTTTACCCATGATTGTTATATGTTTGGCTGTTTCCAATCTTGGAAGCCCCTTATAAAACTTGTTATTTTTAAACAGGGGTGGACTTGGACTCTGGGGCCTACAATGGAAAGGGAGGAGGAGGGCACGCTGCATAGCACATGCAGCATCAACAATTTTTTGTGGTGTGTGAAATACGCTGTGGCAAAAATTGGATATGGCATAGCAGAAACTATTTTTGAGGCCCGCAAAGATCTTGCGAATCTTGTGCATTATACCTCAAAATTGTTATGCACTAAAAGTACAGTAATGCACTTACAGTTGTGTAGGTCATAGCCAGCATTCACTGGATATACCAATCCAGAGGAGGCAGTCATTGCGGCCAGATGTTCTTTTAATTCCTCCAGTCCATACATGCAGACAGGCCAGCGAAGAGATGGCACACACCCGCGTCTGTCTCTACATACCACGCTGCAGCCCAAGGATGTTCCCACCTACCTCCTGTTTAGGGGTGTAATCATGGCAATGCCTGACCACTTGAGTGCACACATACAATACAATACACATGATACAGCTCCACCTACTAGTTGCTAGGAGGTGTTGCAAGACAGGATGCCACCAGGTTCATTTTCAGGCACTTTTTGCCCTATTTCCTCAGGGCCCAACAAGGAATTTCCCTGTCCTCCTGCATTTCAGGCTGCCCCTGGTCTTAAATATCCAACATAAATAAAATAAATGTATAGGTTCTGGTTGCAGTCAAGGCCTCATTTATAAAAGAAAAAAAGGAAGAACGCTGAATTCTCTGACATCCTGGAGCTTTATATAGAAATGGCCCCACTTCAGGCTCCCAGGTATTTCTACTCCTCCACCTCACATGCCGGCTTCCCAAAGCTACTCCCTGCTGAATACACCCAAAATCATGTACTTTGAGTTTCAATCCCACAATAGGCTTTATTGATAATAGTGCAACCCACACAAACTCCTCCTAAAAATTAATTTTATTCTGAATAGCTTAGTTGTACAACTAAGTTTTTCAGAGAAAAATGGGTTGGAGGGAATAATTTGTGCAGGTTGTGCTGTTATCAACATAGCTCACAGTGATATCAGTACAACTCAAAGTGCGGCATATACTTCCTGAGATTTTGTTCTCTATTGCAATAACATAATGCAAGAAGCAACTTTGCTCAGGTAGCCATAACAACCAACTTTCAAAAGGCTCTAATCAAAATATGTTTGATTTTCATGGGGAGTATTATTATTATACAGGGTTTATATAGCGCCAACAGTTTGTGCAGCGCTTTACAATATAAGGAAGACAGTACAATTACAATAGTAGAGTAGAGTAGCACTTTGCACATTGCTATTTACCGTATTAAATTGGCATCAATTACATTTATATGTCAAAGTAGCCTGTATATACAGATTAAAGATAAGAAAATTATTTACAAAAGTAGAGACCTCGCCTACAATTACCAATCTGGTTTTTCTGGGGAAATTAAACCAGGAAAAAACAAAAACTAGTCTAATTCAAACATATCTTGTAAAAGCATAGCTGGCATTAACAAGTCAAAAACTGATTGGTATTGTTTGGAATAAGCAGACATTATTACACGAGTTTGAATAAAATCATGCTGGTTTTCTTCCAAGAAGGTTTTGTAGATTTTCAGTCAACATTCCCCACATTCTGGTAACTTTATTTGTGTTATTTTTAGTCCTACATCTGTATTTAAAATTAACTTTACATTGTAGAGTCTTCAGTGTGGTCCTGGAACAGATTCATAAACTACAGGGCATAACTGCCCCAGGAAAAAGTTCTGGATTTAATGTCAAGGCACTGAGAGCTTTTCGTGTCCTGAGACCGCTGCGTCTGGTGTCTGGGGTACCTAGTAAGTTTAAGCATTACCCTTATACATAGTGAAAGATCATTTGCACAGTTCTTGCATTGTGTACAGCTAATAATCTTGTGTTTTCCCCTCAGGCCTTCAAGTGGTACTGAATTCTATCACTAAGGCAATGCTACCTCTTCTACACATAGCTCTTCTTGTGCTTTTCATGATTATTATATATGCCATTGTTGGACTAGAGTTGTTTTCTGGGAAGATGCACAAGACCTGTTATTTCAAATTAACAGGTAAGAGTATTATTGGTCTGCCCCAGGTACATCCTGTTTATACACACATTATGGCTATGTTTCGGTCCCTGCAATGCCATGGGTCATGTTTTCCTTGGCTCCGTAGGAGCACCCTATAGCAATAATTTGCTGAAATTACAGACCCCAGATTCAGAGGAGTACAGAGAAGAGGGAAGCTCTTTCAGGCTACTCCTTGGAGGAGCGAGGAGATGCCTGGGAGGACTTCCTGTCACAATGCTGCTCTGCATATAAGGTTTGGTAAGTGTGGGAAGGAATTTTTGCTGGGGGGGAGATTTTTTGGGTGGGGGATATTTTGCGGTTGAGGGAGAATGAGAATTTTTGTATGTATGTTACGATTGCCAGCTTGTTGCCCATATATTGTTAGGATTGGCTACTTGTTGCCCTAAAAATGTCATATGATTGACCACATATTTTCTCATTTGCCCTTTTCTCCCCTGCCTATTGTTACCTACATACTTTAACAATTGATTGTTAATTGCCTCCATATTGTATTCAATTTCCAATTTGTGGCCCATGTATTGTATTAGGATTGCCATTTTTTGCTACTGCAGTTTAGAGGATCATATTACTGTAATTTAATTCCCTGCAGGCCTGTCACTGTCAAACTATGCCACAAATATCACAGTGCCTTGCCACAGCTTTTTGCCTGCACGGCTAAAAAAAGCTTTATTCTTGTATATTATATATACAATGTGTAAATAAGAAGAAAATGGCTCTGGCCCTTATTAATTTTCATTCATTTTCTTATTTACTACTGAAAATAAATTAAAAATACTTTTTTTTTAACTCGGGTGTCCATTACACTAGGTGTAACACTGAATGAATATACTTTTTGCCTAAAACATGTAAATGGAAATGTATGATATATGATTGTATTTGTACATAATACAAACCAGCAGCCTAACTCCAGTCAAACGTGGGGAAGAGTTGTAATATCTTTCTGGTTCCTAATTTCTAAGTGTGTTCCACCACTATAAAGATTTTCTCTTCTTGTACCTGTGATGCCCATCCAGTGGCGTAACCAGAGTTCTGGGCGCCCGGGGCAGACATTTTTTTTTTGCCCCTCCCCCCAACACACACTGTCATAGGAGGCTGCAAGAGGAGAGCCCAGCCCCCTGTGACAGCGCTGGCTGTCTCCGCCCCCACACCTCTCTGCTGCACTGTGATAGGCGGCCGAGCGGTGTGGGAGGAAAGACACCGGCCGCTCACAGCGCTCGTCCCGCAGAGCTCGGCCAGCTGTCATTTTCTCTCTGATTCCTTTCATCCCCGCTGGGCACTGCTCTGTGTCTCTGTGCGGGGATGAAAGGAATCACGGCCGCGCCGACAAAACGGCAGGAAAATGTCACTTTAGGCATTTAGCCGAAAGTGCCATTTTCGGCCGGCGCCCCCCCTTCACTTTTTGCCTGGGGCCCGCGCCCCACTGTTCCCCCGGTTGTTACGCCATTGTGCCCATCTAAGGAATGGATGGAGCAGTTGTCACCATGCCAGGAAGGCACAGCCAGCAATAAAACACAGCGAAACTGTCTAATTCTTCCCTACTTTGATCAAATGTAATTTTGTCTGTATTCCAGTTGTAGAGATTTGCCATCACTTCCTCTCCTGTCAGGAAGCAAGGGAAAGTCTCCCCAACAGGATTAGAAACAAAAATAAAACCTGATAGAGAACTCTTCTCCACTTTCTGGCTGTAGTTAGGCTTTAATATGTGTGTGAAGCTGACATAGTAAAACTATATTCTGAAACATGGCTTCTTTTCCCAGATATAATAGCAACAGTGGAAAATGAGAAACCTGCTCCATGCAGTAGTATAGGCCAAGGCCGCCAGTGCTCAATAAATGGAACAGAGTGCAGAGGATGGTGGCCTGGGCCAAATAATGGCATTACTCATTTTGACAATTTTGGTTTTGCCATGTTGACTGTATACCAATGCATAACTATGGAAGGATGGACAGAAGTACTTTATTGGGTGGGTATTGCAAGAATGGCTTTATATTTATATATTTGAAATGAGCTAACTAAATTTGACCTGACTAAACGAAAATATTAGACAATTTTGTAAACTGGAAAGTCCAAGCACAAAAATATATATCATTTTAGTTATAGAGTAAAAGAAATTGAAAATATGTTTCAATGGCACAGCAATTAAATGTATATTAGAAAAGAGTTAATGACTCAAGGATGTTGAAATTATGTGCGTCTCTTTAAACCAATATTTTATACCTCTCCAAAAACCCATTTTGGCATAATCTAAAGAGGTCGTGATGGTGTCATCTCATACACTTGCATAAGAGAAAAATATGAGTACTACCAGTGCTAACATCTTTTTATAAAATGCTAGTTGATTAGCTCTAAAGATAGCCATACACAACATAATTTGAGCCATGAGTGGCCCTGCCAGCACCACCCAGCTCAACAAAAGTCAATTTAAAAAACGGCTGAGCTGGGGGGAAAATTCTCTGTCAAACAGTGACAGCATCCTATCAGATGCAGTCACTGATAGAGTATTCAGATAGCCGTGTGAATACAATAGTCAGCAGTGGAGATTCCTCTATCTATGCTATTTAGTATTGATGGGGTAATCAAGTGACTTTCTCTCATTCGGCCCTGAGACTGATGAGTGAATATCCGTGTGTGTGGCAAGCATTATTCTGATCTTCTGGCTTTAGTTCGTCATGATCTATTTGGAATAGGTATGCATATGATGAAAGTTGGCAAATATTAAAAAGGCTTTTGCTGTATTTATTCCGGGTCAGAACTCAAAGAAATAAAGTAAGAAAGCCAGGTATAATCCCAGAATATGAAGTCAGCAATTGCAAGAAAAGTTTAATTGAAACCTTAAAGTGTATGTCAAAGCAAAATGTAAAAAACAAATGCACAGTACATCTCTTAAATGCATGTATAATGTCATGTGTTTTAAAACCCCAGCAAGTATAGAAAATACCCATTGATCTGCCAGAAATGCACTGAGCTTTTAACTTCCTATGTTTGGTTGACAACACACAGCACTTTTGTAAACTGAGTGGTGTCTTATACACCACTAAAGCTGGCCATACACCTTACAATTATCTGCAGAATTTCTGTGATCAGATGGAAAAGGTGCAACAGATTCCTCCATCTACACTTAACTGTGTGGATGGAGTAATCTCCACCTGGGCCAATCTGTTGCACTTTTCCATATGACCACATAAAATCTGCAGATAATTGTAAGGTGTATGGCCAGCTTAAGTTGTGTATAATGTTACACAATAATAATTTTTCACAGTACCCCCTTGTTGTGCTTTCCCTTCCATTTCTGTCCCAGAGTTTTTCTAGCCTCAAGGACTGTGAAACTTATTGGAATATTCTTTTTTTCTGCTTTTACTATCTTTTAAATATACAAACATTAATAATTTTTTGCTTCTTTTTTTATAGGTTAATGATGCTATTGGCAATGAGTGGCCCTGGATTTACTTTGTCAGCCTTATCCTTCTTGGATCCTTCTTTGTGCTTAACTTAGTGCTCGGAGTCCTGAGCGGGTATAATATTTTCTATAATCTAGTCTTGCTGTTTAAGTGCAGGTGGTACACAGCATGAAGCTGTGATGGAGCCCATAAGGTCATGGGGTCCAGTTATAATCATTACCACATTCCAGCTGGGTGTGTACTTGGGTTGCACACATACCAAGTACAGTACTCAGTACAGGTACGAGTACATGTACCGATAGTTTTGAGTGCCAAGACTACACTAGAGAAAAATCCAAAAATTAGGAGGCAGCTGTCATTTGTAAGGTGCACACGGAGCTCCTGGGATTTGTACATCTCTGTTTTAATGTATGATTTTGTTTTTATAAATATAAATAAAGGGATGCACGGATACCAGTTTTGCGAGTACGAGTACTGGTACTTGCCGAGTACTTACAAGTATGAGTACTGATACATTTTTGTTTATTGTCATGTGACAGTTTTTCTAAATCAATACAGACTAATGATTTCAGGACAGTGGTGGAGTGCCAGAGCCGGTCCCAGCTGCAACCGCTGCAACCCTGGCAGTTCTTATGAAAATGGCAAGTATCTGCACTGGTACTCGAAAAGTATCTGTGCATCCCTAGTGTGTACATTATTTGCTACCCAAAAATTAGATTAGCATTTAGCTATGCACAATGCTTCTGCTTTGCTTGTCATCATATATCACTGCAAGCCTACAATACAGGGTCTATCTCATTGAAAACAGTAGAATCCTAGCATTCTCTGTTGATGCAAAACACCTACAATGTTATTAGCATCCAAAGATCATATCTACACTATCTAGATGTTGTAGGGACTTGGGAGCTGAATTTTAAATTCATGGGAATGTGCTTTTTTTTACTCAATAATGTGAGGTGGTAATGCTGACATTCATCATACAGGTTCATATAAAGTGTGAATTTTATCATATGTTTACTAAAACCACTTATGGACTGGGAATGTACTAAATATATTGTGCATTCCCTCAGTTAGGCCTGCAGAACATATCTAGTTCATTCTACAATATATAACATTGTGCAAACTCCCATGTTCTATCCCCCTGGGAGCTAGGGTTGCCACCTTTTCTTCAAGCGAAACCCGAACACTCTAGTGACGCGTGGACATTTTTTGGGGAGAATGAGTCGCAGCTTATTCATATGTAAATAGCGACACCCATTCATATGTAAATATCACAGTTGAGACTATTTTCAGTAGGGGGCCAGTAGCCCCTGTCTTAATTTTGGTTGTCCCTGTCTGCCTGACATCTTGTGTCCGGGTTTCTGCTGCCATGAAACCTGGACACAGCATTCAAAACCCGAACTGTCCGGGCGAATCCTGGACAGGTGGCAACCCTACTGGGAGCTGAAATTTACAGTCAGGATCCCAACATACAAGAAGGGGCCTCTGAGAGCTACCCCAGATTCAACAACCAGTGTAAAGGCTTTTTTAAAGTTTACCGGATATAAAAGCAATGCAAAAAGGTTAAAAAAAATGAAAGAACTAAAAAAAAAAAAACACATAGTATGAAATAGGTATACCCACTATTTCATCTGGAAAGATGCTACTATGGGTAGAATAATGCTAAGGAAGTTTAAAAAGTAAGTTTTAGAGAAGACTTTTTAAAGTTGTAGTTTTATTGGAGATGCAATACCAAAACTTGTATGTCCTCCATCCATAGTGAGTTTACTAAGGAGCGTGAAAAAGCCAAATCACGGGGAGCATTCCAGATGCTGAGAGAACAGCAGGAAATGGATGAGGACTTGCGTGGTTATTTGGACTGGATTACGCATGCAGAGGTTATGGATTCAGATATGGAACCAGGAGATGGTGAGAGTTGGCCACTAAGTGCTTATTGGAGGGGTATTTTTTTTCTACTCTGTTAAATGTGCACTTTTGCTTTTAGGTTTCTCAAAGCTAGAGGAAGGTGGTTCAGAAACCGACAGTCTGTATGAAATAGAGGGGATCAACAAATGTATTGCCTTTTTGTGAGTAAGCTCATATTAAAAAAAAAAACTTAAAAAGTCTTAAACTAAGCCATGTTTTCATACAATACAATATTCACATGTAACATCTTTATGTTTGCTTATGCCTTTCCCACAGCCGCCAGTGGCGCCATTGGCATAGACTGCTTCGTCGAAAAAGTCGAGAACTCGTGAAATCCCGCCTCTTCTATTGGCTTGTTATTATTATAATTCTTGTTAACACTATCATCATAGCAACTGAACACCACAATCAGCCTCACTCTCTAACAAGAGCCCAAGGTAAGCAACATTTCCAACTGTCTACAAGTACTGATAAAAAAAAGGTTTTCAAGCTTTTAAGTATTGATTATACAGCTAAAATGCTCTTTATATACTTATAGTGTCTGTTAAATAAAGCATATCTAATCCTGAAACAAAATAATTACATATACTGCAGCTTACCAGTCTGTAGATGCAGTGTCTACATTATTTTTTTCTCAGGCTTTTTCCCTGGTAATCCTGCAAATAACACACTTCCTGTTTCTTTGTGGCTAAGCTCACTACTCTACTGTATCTAGGGAGGAAGCCATGGTTGCCACCCAAGCTGAACTTCAAACATGTCTGCCTATGTTCATCTCCATTACATGAGCTTCAGCTGGAAGTGGAGAGAAAGACGAGTGGACACGAGAAAGATCTCCTTCCCGCTGAATGGGGCTGGAAGCAACACGGATTGCATGACTTCCGGCTCCTCAGCTGTCGTTCTCTGACTAAAGAAGCTGGGGAAGACGCTATTCAAGCCTGATCTGTGCTTGAATAGCTTCTTTTGAAGTGAAAAGGAGACGCTAGGGGTCTAAAAGACCCCTAATGTCACCTTAAAGAGAACCCGTCACTACTAATATGCTATGCCCGCTATGCGTTAATATGCCTCCCATGTAATGGCAATGAAGTAAAAAAAAGTTTAAAACAAATAAAAGTTAAATACATATAAAAATACCCCAAAAAATGATTGCGCTAAACACGTTGGACATCGCTAAGTGACCTGGAGTAAGAGCAATAATTCTAGGGCCAATATTCATGGTTAACTCTAAACTGTTGACATGTACAGACTTTTAAAGCTTCACCTATGGACAATTTGTGGTACTGTATTTTGTTGCCGTTTTACGGGTGAACGCAATTTTTAAGCTTGGCATGTTGGGTATCTATTTACTTTGCACATTTTTACTCATTTTTACTTTTGTGCTATTGTTCACTTACAGCTTTGAAACTTAGTACAATGTCTATCAAAACTATATTTTCAACAAACATGTAAATATCATTATTAGCTTAGTTATTATAAGGTAGTGCTTTGCGTCATAATAAAAGGGTTATGTATGGTTTTAAGCATGTTAGGGGGCAATCATTTTGAATGGGCAACCTTACCGCAATGTGCATTAAGCGCAGTAATGCACCACTAAGATGTAAACGGTTGCCTGCATTGGGGTGTGTTGCCATTTTTTTTTTTTATTGTATTACTGTCACTGGGGGACAAAACCACTGGAGACAGTACACATTGCACATTAATGAGGCATGAATTATAATTGTGAGTGTTACCGCATTCATGTGGCTACCCCTTGTGCAACATAAATGCATTCAAAAGATTCTTGTTTTTCTATTTATCTGCAGACATCACGAATCAGGTGCTGCTAGCGCTCTTCACCATGGAGATGGTTATAAAAATATATGCCCTTGGTTTCCAGTCATATTTTATGTCAATTTTCAACCGGTTTGATTGCTTCGTAGTGTGCACAGGACTGCTTGAGGTTATGCTGGTAGCCAGTGATATCATGTCTCCTCTTGGAATATCTGTCCTGCGTTGTATACGGCTACTACGAATATTCAAGATTACACGGTAATCACACAATGGAATGAGATTATGTTTTTGGATAGACCCACACACACACAAAAACACTCACAAGACTGTAACTGTATTTAGGATAAAGATTTGGAACTGCCCCTCTGTAGGGATAATTTATGGTTCAGAGATTTGTATCAGCTTGTACCATATCCTCACCACCTAGTCATGAAAAGAAAAAAACTCACACATTTAAAGTTGGTGTAAAACTTTACAAAACATTTCTGGTAACAGAGTTAAAACCTTGGTCAGGTTATTATTGCAGAGCTGGTAATCATTAGAGAGATTTCTCTTTACTTCCTGTCCTCAAGATACCACAGGATATAAGAGGAAAGCTTCTAGCGTGAGGGGAATTACCATCGTAGACAGTTGTCACTATAGCAGGAGATGATTTGCCCTTACTACTTGCTCTAAAAACTCCAAAATGTTGGATTTACCCTCACTTTCTATCTTGGTTACAGTGGTCACCATGACAGATAAAGAGGGTACATCTTCCAAGAGGGGACACCGTCGACAATAAAAACTTGACAGAAGGTCTTAAACCATTTTCTACTGGACATACATTTGCAAACATATTTTATTTATTTGCTGATTGATCTTTGCTTATCACCTGTATTAACATAAGTATTGTGCATGTTGTAATAGGTTAATAAGGTGCAGAAATGTTATGGCAACAGAATGGCAGTCAGGATTAAAATAAATGCATTCAGTTGCAGCATGACTCACTATCACAACTTCCATAACCCTTGCATGCCTTCTTGCTGATTGCTGCAGTGTGTGGATCTGAATGACTAAGATTGACTTTTATCATTCCAAAGCTATGGATGCGACAGCAAAGAAAGTCTAGCACAGGCTATTCTGACACTTCTAGGTAGCTTGCTACTATCTTCCACCCCCCACCCCACACACACACACACACACACACACACACACACACACACACACACACACTTTTTACTATGATGATGTGCCTCGATGGCCAATAGGAATGTCCATAGCTCCAAACTGTCTCTCATTTGGATAGACTGCCCCTCTTTTGGAACAGAATCCCTCTTTCCTACTCAGTTGTACCTAATTTTGATTTTATGTATTTATTGAACCCTATAAATATTTACTATTTAACTACCTAAAGCATTGCACTACACTAAGAATGTCATCCAAGCATTGCATTTCTTATTTTGAAAACCCAGGAAAAAGCAAAAGCATTGGGGAAAAAGTACTGGCGCAGCCAGGACTCAGCACGACACTGAGAAGTTGGGCAGCACAGCCTGTAGCTTCTCCTCTGGATCCCCGCTGCTCTCCCTATCTGTATGGGCAGAGGCAGGGGGATCTGAGGAGAAGTGAAGCGCTGCAGCCGGCGGGGGTGCAGAGGAGGGAACCGCTGCCACTGCCGCATGGCGGAGCGGCGAGGAGAGAGAGAGAGCCGCTCTGCCAGGATCTGACAACCAATGGCTCTCTCTCTCCTCAACGTTTGTCATACTCGTATCTCCCCTCGGCCGGGACAACGATCCGTACGCGCCACTGCGCAGGGGTGCCGCGAGACTCCTCCGACTCTAGTACGGGGTCCGATGATGTTAATGCGCAGGCGCGCCACGAGACTCTGCCCACTCACCCGCGTAGTCGGCATAAAGCCGCGGTCCACCGTTTGATCGGCGTCCCACTATTGTTGAAGCAGGACGCTGATCAAACCAGCAACCCCTGCTACTCCAGGAACCCACCACTGAAGGAGAATTGCTGCATAGACCCTATCCCATTCCTGGGAGAGCCACAAACAGCAAGTATTTCAGCCATAGCTACATGGCTATGGTAGAGAGATCTCCACAGCACGTCCTATATGCCTACTCAACTGTCTGCTTGATTTCAAGTTAACCTGTCGCATAACTATATGCCTACTGAATTGTCTGCTTGATTGCAAGTTAACCTGTCGCATAACTATATGCCTACTGAACTGTCTGCTTGATTACAAGTTAATCTGCCTCATACCTATGTGCCTACTGAACTGTCTGCTTGATTACCAGTTAAACTGCCTCATAGCTATACGCCTATTTACTGTCTGCCTTATTACAAATGAACCTGCATCATATATCTATGGAACTTAAGCTAATTGCTAATTGAACCATAACTACCCACCTGCGGTACCCTCAATACCTACCTTGCCGTTGATACGCAGGGTTAAGTGTTGCTAAACGGGGCGTGATGTGAAGCAGCTCTCTCCTAGCCTTATCAACATTCTGGGCATCGGAGGAAGAGCTGCAATCTGATACCCGTTCCCCCTAAAAAGAAGCCATATCCACAGCTGCGGTCCAAGAAAGTTAACCCCTGGGGGGGTGTTACACCGTTTGGCCATGCTGCTGCTGTGACAACGGCTCCCGCCTCCCACTTACCCACCGGGTTCAGCGCTTCACTTCTCCTGGGATGCCCGTTGCCTCTGCCCATACAGGCGGGAGAGCAACAGGGATCCAGAGGAATAGCTGCAGGCTGTGCCGCCCCTCTGTGGGTGGCCGAGCGGCGGAGGATCGGTACATATCAACTATATGTACCGATCCCCTGTGTGCAGAGCAAACACTGGAGCGATCAGCTGATCACTCCAGTGTTTATAAATAACTGGGGACTATGTGTCCCCAGTTATGAATGAACAGGAAGTGCTTTACATCACTTCCTGTTCATTCATGAGTTTCTAAATGGGTAGTAGCACTATGTACAGAGGCTTCTACCCATTCATAACTGGATGATAGTAAATATTTTTTGAATGAATAGGAATCCTCTGTACTTTCCATTCATTTAGAACAGAAAAAGAGATTGAGGACTCTGTGTCCTCAATTTCTTTTTCTATTTTAAAAGGGAAATATCAGGGGGCTGTTTAGACCCCTAATATTTCCCCGAAACCCTTGCAACAGTAAAAAAATAAAAAATTAATAATAAAAAAATAAAATAAAAAATAAAAAATTCTGGAGGCGGGGCGCATGGCATCACATGCCGCCGCCATGCGCGGTGCTGGGTGACATCACACGCCTGTTTGAGGGGGCATGTTTTTTTGTTCTTGCCTTAGGTGCTAAAAGAGCTAGCTACAGCTCTAGGAGGGCAAGCTGTGACACTATGAGGAACATTCAGCCATAACAAGGTGTGGAGGCAGGTATTTGTAGGCACCTCTAGGAGTTTTTTTTTTCCTGACAGGGTATTTTCAATGCCTACTGTAGATTTGTGTGTCTTTTTGTTTTTAGTGAAATTATCTGGGCCACGTTTTCTATAAAATTGGTTGGTTTTACTCCTTGGGAAGGTTTTACAGTGGAGGTTTGAGATCAATGTTTTTTTTTCAGTGTCTACATGGGTGTTATTAGTATATTAAAATATATCCAGGGGTGGGGGGCCACCTTTTTTGTCTCTCTTTCTAGCTACTTTATCTTGCTTCATTTCCTTTGTCTTTAAAGTATAAATAACATTACTGTATAATAAAAACTTAATCTTTGAGAAAATAAAAACAAAATAAACAGAATATTTTCTAAAATCACTGACCTGGAAAATTATGCAGTCAAAAGCATCAACATGACAGCAAGGGCAATATATATACATCCCTCAAAAACATTTTTATTTTTTTTAAAGAAAACCTGTCATAAGAGAAACATTGGGCTGCCACTGCTGACTTCCATTTAAAATTGCTAGTTGGTTGGCTTTTTTCTGACTAACTGTCTTCAGTACTTAGTTACTGGTTTGAAACAAGTATGCAGATTAGGAAAGTCAGAAGTCATAAATGTTGCAGGTTAATGACTAAAAATAGCAGATGATCAACATGACATCCAGACAACTAGCATTTTCAAAAGAAAGGGTTAGCAATGGCAACATCCATGTTCTCATGACAAGCTTAGGTTAATTCTGAATAAATATGTCACCCATTCACTTGGTGATGTTTTAGGCTAGAAGTATAAGACGTTTCCTAACTGCTTTTATGACATAATCAGCATCCAGGGATTTCAGATATTTAAAGCTTTTATAGTTTTCCCCATGGTCATTTTAGTACTCTGCATTCTTATTATTTTCTTATATGTTGCTGCTTTTGTATTTCAGATACTGGACGTCACTAAACAACCTGGTGGTTTCTTTGTTAAACTCTGTCCGCTCCATAGCATCCCTTCTCCTCCTACTTTTCCTCTTCATGATTATTTTTGCTCTCCTTGGGATGCAAATGTTTGGTGGAAAGTTTGACTTTGAAGACATTGAAATTAGGAGGAGCACCTTTGACACTTTTCCACAATCCCTTATCACTGTCTTTCAGGTAACATCTGACAAACACCTATTATGTGACTTAAATAACCCAACACAGCAGTGTAGAGCAGTAAAAAGTATTTATAGAGCAGGAAAGACCATATAGAGAACGAAATTGTGTGTATTTCAATACCAGAATGTTACAAAATGACTATGGTCAGATGTCAAATAGCATTGGTCCCATGTTGGCTATAAATATGATCTGTCCATAGTGCAGACCCAGCACCAAAGAAAAGCATTTTAAAGTGCAGCATTAGCTTTCTAGAACAGAAGATATGTTTTTGTTGTCATTGTAGTACACCTAGTAAAACAACCAGCAACCACACTGCACTAATATGACTGCTAAACAGAGAGATGACTTGGGATAGATTGCTATAGTTTATAGCACAGTGATTCATCTGCACTGATGAGGAGTGATCAGTGATTAAGTCTGTGGATTACAGCATAGTACATCCAGTAAAACACAGCCAGCAACCACCTTACACTAATACGACTGCTAAACACTCAAATGTGATTACTCTGATGAAGGGCAATTAATGGTTGCTTGGGTTACATGGTAGTATGACTGCTTTACAATAAAGAGAAAGATTGTTTCGTTGTGGGTTAAAGCCTGGGCTAGGACAAACTTTATCCCTGCCAAAGCGGCTTGGCTCCCAGTATAAAGAATTATACTTTAATATGGAACAATGGCTCGGATAATAGATTTCAGAATGCTGACATTAATTTAAAAGCAAACTTACTACTTTAAGTGTGTGATTGCCCATTTCTGTCTTGATTGCCTAAAATGATAAATAATGCACAATCACCCAATGTTTTAAATAACTATTGAGCTGTTACAAAGGTTTTATTTCTGGCATTGAAATGGCTATAATATATGTCATACCATTAAAACAGTTTGATCCATGAAACAGCTGTCAACGTCCGTGTAAAGCTGCCGTCATTGACAAGCCATGCCTCCCTGCAGTTTCTTCTCGCCTGGTTAGGCACCTTGCTATATTGGTCTGCTTATTTATCTGTTCAAAAGCACTATTTATATAACCATGTCAGTGCCAGAAACAGGAGGAGACAGCATCAGCTACCTTGTAACAGTTCAGCATTTATTTACAGGATTGGTTGAATATGTAATGAGGCTTTTAGCACCTCCACATCTGTTTCAGGAAACAGATAACATTCTACAGCCACTGTGGTAAACACAAAGTAAACAGCCTTTGGCAAGACTCTAGCACTGCTAGAGATATTAAACACATGTGAGATGGTAAAGTACATTAAATAATAGGGCAATGTAGGGGTAAGGCTAACATTTTACAGTGGCACTCTAGCCATAACTTATTTTCTAGTTTCGGATAGAATGAGCAAGGGTTAGACGCTTTATGTTTTTACTGCTGTACGTGTTTGCATTGTACCCTCACTTTTCCAGAAATCTGAGAGCAAGTGAGAGGTCACCTTAAAACAAAGGGCAATCCAACCTCTTTACAGTTGTCACCAAACCAGGCGCCACCTTGGATGTTTAGTTTTCTACTCCTCCTCCAGTGACTACCATAAAAGTTTAGATTTTTCTTAACTTCCTGTCTGGTGACAACAGTACAGTAAACGAGAGTAAATGTGGTCATAGAGTGTCAGGATACCAGCGGCGTCGCCCCCCCATAAGGTCAGAGCGTACGGCATAGGGTACAGACCTCCCTTCAGCCTGGCAGACCACGGGCGCTCCGGCGGCCACTACGCGTGCGCGAGCTACGCGCCGGGTGCGCGTGCGCAGTACACAGGCTGTGCACGCATCCCGGGGCCGTGCTCGCAACGCACGTGCACCTGTTTGAGCTTCAGTTGTGGCCTTGCTGGGGGAGGTTCCCCAGCCCACACACACACACGCTTTTCGCCTGCCATTGGCCCTCGGGAAGGGAGGCCTCCTGGTCGCCTCAGAGACCAGGGGGCGGACTCACACCCCCTGGCTATAAAAACCTGGCCAGAGCCCTGGCTCAGTGATGAGTTATTACACCTCTTGGTGTGACATACAAAGCTCTCCTCCTATGTGCCTTGCTGCCTGTTACCTGAACCCTCTGCTGACTTCCCGTGTGCCGACCCTGGACCGACTATCGCCTCTGACCCTTGCTGCCTGCCTCGACCTTTGATTGCGCTCGACTACCCCTTTGGATTGCCCTTTTGTTACCTTGCCTCCTGACTTTTTAGCCTGCTTCCTGCCAGCGGGTTCCCTCCGTGCTGCTTGCCCGCGGACGCTCCCCACATAGAGGTAGGGTTAAAACTAGGGTTGCACAGATACCAAGTACAGTACTCAGTACAGGTACGAGTACATGTACCGATACTTTTGAGTGCCAAGACTACACTAGAGAAAAATTCAAAAATTAGGAGGCAGCTGTCATTTGTACACGGAGCACACGGAGCTCCTGGGATTTCTACATCTCTGTTTTAATGCATGATTTTGTTTTTATAAATATAAATAAAGGGATGCACAGATACCAGTTTTGCGAGTACGAGTACTGGTACTTGCCGAGTACTTACAAGTATGAGTACTGATACATTTTTGTTTATTGTCATGTGACAGTTTTTCTAAATCAATACAGACTAATGATTTCAGGACAGTGGTGGAGTGCCAGAGCCAGGTCCCAGCTGCAACCTCTGCAACCCTGGTAGTTCTCATGAAAATGGCAAGTATCTGCACTGGTTCTCGAAAAGTATCTGTGCATCCCTAGTTAAAACCCATCACCATTCTATTCAAAAACATTCAAAAATATTTGGTTACATTTCTATTTTAACTAAGGCTATTTAAGGACAGACAGATGATCTCTGGAACAATGGACAATGAGACTTTAACCTCCTTGAAAGCAACCAGTGTAACTCACCCAGTACATTTTTACACCTATAGTTAAATAAAGAAAAGAGGTGGCATTTCCTAGTATTCTACCTCTGGGATCCTGTTCACTAATGATTTTTCACCACATTTAGATATTTGAACAAATGTGATGTAATTTCAGTAAAAATTGATTTTTTTTTTTTTGATTTTTTTTTAAAAAAAAGCTTAACAAAACTGACAAACTGGAAAATAACTTGTAACTGAAGTTAGAAGTAGAGAGAGTGAGAGAATATTTTAGTAATTATGTTTGCCATGATTGTAGTGTAATATTAGCCACGCAAACCTTTTGTTCTCAAAGTGCATGTATACCTTTTAAATATAGTGTATCTCAATATAATATCAAATAAATAAAATTGCTTAAAAAAAGTTAGCAAATGGAAAATAAGTGAACTGACAAATTACCTTGGTGAACAAAACCAATGAACAGGTTTTTATAAAAAGAAAAAAAAAGGCAAAGAACATGAAAGTAGCTTACACAACTGTTTGACCCTTTATAGATACCCCTTTGCTCTCTTTTTTTTCTATAAAAAGGGGGATATTTTACTTTTGTTGTGCATAGATTTTCCATAGTTGTCAACTGTCAAACCTCTGTGTGTAATAAGAAGCACATCATAGTGAGGTGTTTATTTCATTATCCGCTATAAAAGCACTACATGGCCAGAGCCTAGCTCAGTTGTTGCAGGTGATGCTAGGATCAGGACAAGATTAAAATGCTTTAGGCCAAATGTATTTTGTATCAAAATAAAATAGAAAAATGAATCAGCTGACCAACACTAGTGGGCCCGTTCGCCCTAGTGGTGATCTGGATTGTACCGCATAGGATAAACAAAGGTCACCGCAAGGACACATAGAAAACAATTGTTTTCTATGTGTCCCATTCACACTACAACGCAGTGGGCAGGCACTAAAATAAAATGCAAACATGCTCCATATTATGGCAGCACACTGGATGCCCCCGCATGTCGTTGCACAACAGTGCATCACTCCGTGTGGTCGTGAGGGGACCTCAATAGAGTGTACACACTGTACACTGCACATAAAGAAAAAAATGTAAACAGTGGCAAGGTGTGGTAAAATGCACACTAATGGAGCTGTCACGCTGCACTAGCCCATCTGCTGAAACACATCGTTTTAGCGGACAAGCTAGTGGGAACAGGCCTTCAGTGGCTCTCATTCATTATGCCTTATTGGGTTGCTAAGGTGTGTTCAATAGAACTTAAAGAAGATCCAAACCCTAATCATTTAGTTTCCTAAACAATTATTTGTTCAAAAAATATTGTTTTCATTTTGTTTCAGGGTTTTTTTGCATCCAAGTGTTACTGAACTCCTCCAGCCTCTTTTAACCACTTGTCTAAAACTGTCTAGATGTACTTGCTCCAGCATTGGCTGCACACCATTGCTCTGGCCTGGCTTCTTGATAGGGACAACAGTGCACCCTTCATGTACAATGTGTGTAGGCACATCCACTTGTCATCTCCACCAGGGCGCATGTGACACACAGTGATTACGCAGGGCCACAATTGGAAGACAGCTGTCACCCCATAACAGGAAGTTCCTGAACAAGGACCTTTATGGCAAGATCACCATACATTATTTTATTGAAAAACTGCTTATTTAAAAAAAAATGAAAACATCATATTAAAGTGTATATTACATTTTAGTAATTTTGTTTATATCTACTTTAAGGCATGATAAAATATAATCATAAGAACTCCTAACCACTTTAGCATGATTTAAGCACCTTTTTGGGTGCATTACATGCTCCTGCAGCTTGATGATTGATGAGCCAATATTAAACAGCCTACGGACATCAGTCATGGTCATTATCTAAAAAAATTCAACTAGCATTTAAATATTTCATGCAATCACCTTCTACATATGGTTAAGGCATTTATATGCATTGTAGTCAGGTGATGCCAACATGTTTAAGAACCGTTTTGAGGTCCAAAGAAATGTTGCCATGCCCATCAGTTTCTATGTTAAATTTGTTTTACTAGTAGTAGTCACAATAACTGGACTTTTACTGTAATGTTGAAGACATTTTACCGCTCAAGCAGCTTCCTCAGTTCTGACTTAGAAATATTTTTGCATGACAAGATTTTTGTCTTTTCAGTTTGGAAACTTTTCTTAATTATACACTGTAATTTACACCTAGAATCTTATTGTGATTGTTTTTCTCAAAGATCTTGACTGGAGAGGACTGGAACACTGTGATGTATAATGGAATCATGGCTTATGGTGGCCCATCCTTCCCTGGGATGTCTGTCTGCATTTACTTTATTATCTTATTTGTTTGTGGAAATTGTATCCTTTATAATATAGTCATTGTGTTGGAGTAAATTGCTGGAAATCAAATTTCAAGTTACCTGCCAGCACAGGGTCACTTGTATAAAAAAGCATACCTGCTAAAAGGCTTGTGTCTTAAAATGCCTCCTCTTTACTTCTCCCCAGCCATTGAAAGCATTCAAACCATCAGAATACCTGTTTCCCCTGCCACCTAGTGTGGTTAATTTCTCCAGCTCGTACATTCTCTAGTGATGTACAGTATGTGCTGGTGGGAAAAAACACAGCATGCAGTGAGAGAGCAGGTATTCTACACCTTGAATACTTGCAGGGGCAAGAGAGAAACAGCACAATGGTGTTTCAAGACAAAGGCTGCCAGAAAAGAAAGTACATTGCCTGTTTTGTTCTGATATGGGCATTTTAAGCACATTGTGGTGTAAATTCATTTTGTGTGCATGGATTTGTTTTATTGTCCACAAGCCACAAATTCCAATTGTAAAATCTGTAAATATAGTATTTTACATAAAGCATGGCAACAAAGATATATTATCATCCTGAAACTTGTGTAAGAAGAGTTCCAGGCACTGTGAAGCAAAAAAAAAAATACATGACTGTGTTGCAGGTGCTGCCATAAATCACTGCCATTCAGTAGGAGGATTATGGTGAAACGTTATACTCAGAACAAGTTTGGCTGATTGAGTTTGCATGAACTGTGTATAGTGTTGATGTTTAAAGGTCTATACACAGCTATGTATGGCTAAGGCTGCAGCTCAATAGCCACATAAAAAAAAGATATGTATGCAGTGGGACATTTTCTGGCATGCAGCAATTAAAGACACCAAGGTTTAAAAATATATATAAAAAACTGTTCATGTAAAAAGATTATTTGCATTTTCTGCATATGCATCCTTAAAAACGTGGACTTTGCACCAATAAACACGCTCATTTTCTGTCGGCCGGAGTTCTGAGCATATTATTTTATGTGGGAGAGCCTGCACACCACATGTAATCATAAAACATACCAATACATGCCGTGTGCAGGCGTTTACATGCAGCGGCTGTCACCTGATCATTAACTTGAATGAGTGACAGCTGCCGCATGTAAACGCCACATTAGGGATTCTTGCTGCAGGAAAATGCAGGTTCATGGCACAGGAATTACTAATCGCATCTAAACTTACAGGTGTGAATGGGGCCTTATTGTGTGCAAATAAGTGTTTGTAATTCTGGTTGGGGGGGTTGTGCATATTTCCGTTTGTGTGTATTTCAATGTGTGCGTATCACTGTGTGTGAAGTATGAAATTTGGCAAGCAGCCCCCATGGGAGAACAAAAAATTGTCCAGTGGCCCCCGAATGAATTGAGTTTGAGACCCCTGTTCTACATGGTTTTTTGTTGTTGTTATAAACCTTGCTGCCTTTAATTTCTGCAATTTCTGCATGCCAGAAACACCCCAATACATGCATAGCGCATAGCTTTTGATGACATGATATCTAGTGGTTTGACATGCGGCAATTACAGTCTTTTTCCCTGAACTCCATCTAATACTCTTTGGTTCAATAGCAACCTCAATACTCAATGAGTAGACTCCTGTGAAGAGGTCTAGCTATATATTAGAGTTCATAAGTATGAGCAAAGGACTGATACAGGAATACATTTGGGTTAAACATAGCCTTTAATAAATAGAATGAAAAGATTCTGATGTACATACACAAGACTTGAAATTTCACAATTCAGTGTCTAACCAGACTAATTCTAACAAAGTACACTATATTTTATCATTTGTGATCACATGGCATTGTTTATATCAACCTTGACCTGAAAAAAACACAGACATCTTACTGAATGTATTTCTTGCTATTGCTGTTGATAACCTTGCAGAGGCTGAAAATCTCACTTCTGCGCAGAAAGCGAAATCTGAGGAACGGAAACGCAAGAAATTGGCAAGGTGGGAAGATGTACTTTTTGTTGTAAACGTTCTTAAACTATAAACTATGAGCTGACTTTTTTCTCAAAGGAAATCATGCTAGTCCTATATTTTTAAACTTGTTACAAATATATAATTGATTATATACAAACTGAAGCATAACAGAGGTGTTCAACAAAATAGTTTTGTCTGTCTCACCAAAAAATGTTAGACTAACCTTTAAACAAAGGCTCTGGTCATTATGGAAGAAAACCCCCCAGGCAAGAAGCTGTTAAGGACTTGGAATCTACAGTACATGAATGGAATGTCTTAGATGGCTCTGAGTTGAAATGTGATAATCAGACATATATGCATCACCAGTAGTCACTTGGCAGATGTCAGGAGCATGCACAAATTCACACATGTTCTACAGCAAATCTTCTGGTTGGTAATAACAAGCTGACTCATTTAAAAGAGAGTGCACGCAGTAACAGTGTATAGTTTATCCCTCATTTGCAAGTAAATACCTCTGTCCCCTCTTTCCTCCTCAGTCGTCCCTTTTTGGTTTGATGTACAGATATCTCTGAAAAGGTTCTATATAACTAGCAAAAGTTTTATTATGAACTAAAACCTTTATCTCATCTCTTAATTATCTTGTTTTCTATTTTGAAAAGCCAGTATAAGGCTTGGTTCACACACTAGGGCGGTCCATCACAGGATCGCACACCTCCGCCGATCGCGCTGGTGGTGCCATTATTTTCTAATGGCACCCCAGTTCGCCATACAGATCGTGCGGTTTCCTGCCGCGATTTGCCCGTGCAATCGCGCTCAATTGCAGTTCAAAAACACTGCACGGTGTGTGTCGCAAAAAGAGGTACATTATATTTTTTCATCAATTGCCACGCGGATATAGCCCTATTGAAATCAATGGGGCTCCGCGGCATTCACTGTGTGCAATCATGCACGATCGTGTGGTCCCGGGACGCGTGACCCGGGATCGTCAGTATCTGAACCTAGCCTAAAGGAAAAGTATTGGTGAAAAATAAATTCTGGGTTTAATCAATAATTTTTGGCATATACATTGTTAATGGTCTATATAACTAACAGGGATGTGTCTATTTTCTAAATACATTTTTGGAATTTATCAAAGCTGGAGCAGTTGAATCTGGAGCAGTTGCCAATGGCAACCAATCAGCATATCTCTTCGGTTTGCTCAGGTAAGATTTGAAAATGAGACAGTGAAGCTGATTTGTTGCAGTGCAAATCAGCTCCAGATTTTATCTGCCCCAGTTTTGATAAATTCCCCTCACTGTGCTTGAAGGCGTCCCTCTTTCTCATCTCTGAAAGTTAGAAGGTATGGTGTATTCAATCAGAAATCAGCTTTCATTCCTGTGAGCTGCCAAAAATGTACGCCTATAAGCACTGGCGGAACTACCAGGGTCACATCGGTCGCAATTGCAAAAGGGGTCCTGGCGCTCTGCCACTTGGGGGGGCCCAGCGAGGAAGAAGAGGGGCCCCCCGAGATCGTGCCGCTCCTTCCCTGCCACACATCCACCCGCAGCTGTCACCAGTCCCGCAGAATGTGCTGCAGGCACTGCCGGGCCGTACATTCTGCTGTGTGAGGACCCTCTCCCCTTAGCCCCGCCCCTGGTCACTGAGACGAGGAAGAGGGCCCTTCACGAGAGGAAAGGTAAGTCTGCAGTTGGAAGGGGGGGGGCGCGGGGAAGTGTGGGGGGGATGCTGGTGATATTCTGTAGTGCTGACTTTTATTATAATGCATTGCTGAGACTTGTAGTCCCGCATAGCTGGTGGTATTCTGCATTGCTGTATGATGATTATAAAATGCCCCGATACTAAACGCAGATAACGGTGTTCTGTCGAGAACGACAAGGAAATCGAATTTGCTGACCTCAGCATCTGCGCTTGCGCACAGACCAGTATTATCGAGGAAACAGGGATTTATTCACAAAGTATTTTGTTTAAATTGTTAATTCTGACTGTTAATAATATTCCATCCATCATTTACTGCCACCCATCATTTACTGCCATGGATTACATATTATTAATGGTTAGACATGTGCGATTCGGTTCGTTCCAAAAATCGTTTCGGACGAATTTTCGGAAATTCGGAGATTCGGTTGCATCCAAATTCCGAATTACAGCTAAGACGAATGCAAACGAATCCGAATTCCCGATTCCCCGAAATTCGTTAGCGGTAGTCCGGCCGAAATTCTTTTTTTCCTAATGTCAACGAGTGAATGACCGAACATGCTCAGCATGCTGGGCCGACCCGAAGTGCAGAAGTAGTTCGACTCAGCCAATCCAACATCTGGATCGGCTGAGCCGAACCTCCGGCAGGCTACTCGCTGCTGTTCGGTCTATTCTTCTAGATGCCGAACAGCAGTGAGTGGTACCGAGCAGAACAGAAAAATTGTTGAAAAAGTAGAAAAAAATTAATAGAAAACGATTGTGCGGAGCTAGAAGTGACAGCTAGCCGTCAAAAAAAAGAAGAAAAAAAAAACTCTCTCGGGCGCTCCGGGAGTCTCCCGTTCCCAGCCGCCCAGGAGAGAAACACTGATTTGTCTTTTTTTTTTTTCTTTATTCTGACACGGAGCCGTGTCAGAATAGGAAAAAGAAATTACATTTTTGGCCATAGGAATGCATTGCTAGATTCCTATTGGCTATTTCAATTTGCAATAGCCAATGGCAAACTAGCTATTGTACCCGCCCTATTGGCTATTGCAAATTGAAATAGCCAATAGGAATCTACTCAATCTAGTAATGCATTCCTATGGCCAAAATCTTTAAAATGTTTTTTCTATTCTGACACGGCTCCATGTCAGAATAAAAAAAAGAAAAAGCAGTGTTTTTCTCCAGGGTGGCCAGGAGACTCCCGGAGCGCCCGGGAGAGTTTGCTGTCTGGAGGTCAGTGTTCCTGGTTAGCACCGCAAGACTTTCTTTTATTGACTTTACAGGTAAAGTCACACCATTCTGGTTTGTTACACTTGTTTTCACTTATGTTCACCTGATGAGATGATTGCTATATAGTTAATTTGTTCACATTTTGACTGAGCGCAACAAATTAGCAACACGATATTGCTGACCTATTGCTGAGAATGCCAATTGCCTGTAAAGAAGTTATACTGACAATTCAAGCTCTTTAACAGGTTAGTTTGTTTTTGTAGACAATGGCTTCTAAAATTGAATAGGCTACCTTGAGAATAATTTCACTTTCATTAGGTCCATTTTTTTTATTAATCAGCCCAATAATAAAGATATTTGTAAGTTCTGCTGGATTCCTGTGCAGTAACAATACTGTCAAGAGTATGATATAAAGACAGGATCATAATTCACAATGTTGTCACCACTTATGCCTAGGATATTTGGCACCCATTGAAGGTTTTTCTTTCTTTGAATTTTGTGTGTATTTAAAAAAATTTAATTGAAAGGGTTAATAGCGGTGTGGCAAAACATGGGGCTCAGGATGGCATGCTAAATATAAGACAATTACACTGTTTTAACAGTGGTACACGTAGTGGCCAAAAATGTTTTCCATCCTCCTCAAGGAAAAATACCACCTCATGCAACCTCCCTCATCACAATACAAATCTACCTTTCTCTAACAAAAATCCCCCCATCCCCTAGCAAACCCCTCCACTAGCAAAAATCTCCCCTACCTCCAGAAACCCTACACCCATTATTAGCAAAAATCCTCCCCTCAACCAGTAAAAAATCACCCCTCCACAAGCAAACCCCCTTCCAGAAAAATCATCTCTCTCCCTATTTACACGTACAAGACCTCAGATATTGCAGCACCCAGCAGGCCTGTCAGGAGTCTTCCCAACCATGTTATATAATATATCAGAGTTGAGGTGGTGCCTAGGTGAGTTTTCCCAACTCAGTCAGTACCGCTGTATTTAAGGTATGACAGGGCTGCTGGGCACAGTACTGCTATGCTGCTGCAACACAATCCGTGGCAACAGAAACTGCGACCCCCACATGCTGGTGATGTGCATGGATCATTACGTTCCTAAGCATATGGAAGATCCTGAAGTAGATAGGCAGAAATTGGGCTGAAATCATAGCCTGGGTTGATTTCAGCCTTTAGGGATTAAGTGCAGCCCTGCACCCAATATAGTTTCATTCTTGCTTTTATAACTTTTTAGGCACTTTTTTAGATTTTATGTATTATTTAACTATACCTAAAGTCAAAATTTCTGTTTCTCTTCAGCTTCTTTGCCATCTCTGAAGGCCATCTTAGACACAACATGATGTAAAAGGAAATCTCTTTAAAATAACAGAAATGTACTCTTATACAATTGTCACTGTAACAATTACCTCTATTGGAAGATTTCCCCTCACCTCCTGTTCTGGTGACAACTCATAATTTATGATTTTCCTATCATCAGGGCACAAAGACAGCAATAAAAGCCAACCCTTCCCTACTCTATCCATTACTAAAAAAAGACATTGTGGCTTTAGATATATACAGTACTTGTGCATAAATCGAAGTAACTATTTCATTTCTTTTCAGGGCATATCCAGATAAATCAGAGGAAGAAAAACTGCTCTTAGCAAAGAAATTAGAACAAAAAGCCAAAGGGGAAGGCATACCTACTACAGCCAAGGTAAGACAATTTTAGATGAAAAAACAGATACCACTTAAAGGTCAGACAACTGCTTTTAGTTATCAGTGATCATATTGGTATTTGATGAGCCAGCATGGTGTTTTGAAATCAGTACTGCTGATGCCCAAGGCTTCATGAAACAAAAAGTGTGACTTTCAAAGGGTGCTCTTCTACAGAAGTTCTAATTTATGTTTCGATAAAGACAAGCGTGGTAGAAATGGAGAAAAAAAGACACCAATATTATTTTTCGCTACTCGCCTGATACCGAGTACTGGTGCCTTGAGCCCCGATTAACAGGAAGTCATGATCGGCCGCCGGCCTCCTGATTTCCTGTGAAACCGGTGTTCTAGCGAAAGAACATCGGCTTGAGAGGCAGCGTGGCCTCCTGACCAATCAGGAAGCCTGAACACGAGTCATGATGTGCCGCACGACTTCCTCATTGGTTAGGAAGCCAGACTGCCTACCAACAAGTGAAGCTGGCTTCGTAGCCAATCAGGAAGCCAGGCAGCAAGTCCTGACCCGCCTCCCGGCTTCCTGATTGGCTAGGAAGCCAGCTTCACTTGTTTGTACGCAGCGTGGCTTCCTGACCAAAATAGTAAATGAACACACCACACTGTAAAAAAAAAATGCTTTATTTAAAAAAAAGTATTTTCTTTAAAAAAAAACACAAAAAAACACAAGATAGTATTTGACAGGCCTTTTATTAAAAAAAAAAAAAGTCTATCAGTGTAATCCACAAGTCAATCACATTGTCCAGCCATGTAGATTTACATGAAATCACGATGGACAACGGCCACTGACTCGCCGGAAAAAAAAATCCAGAAAAACACCGGATGCAAAATGACAGCTCTGCTCCTGAATGTCAACAAAGGGGCGGGGTGAGTCGTGACATCACGTAACCTGTAATTTGTTGACATTCAGGAGCAGAACTGTCATTTTGCGGCCGATGTTTGTCAAAATCGGTCATGGCTGTGAGGATTTTTTTTGTGTGAGTCAGGGGCCATCGTCCATCCTGATTGACATGGATCCTCATGGCTGGATGATGTGATTGATGTGTGGATTACATTGCTGGACATTTTTTTTTTAAAAAGACATCAAAAATCGTCTTTTTTTTTTTTTTATAAAAGACTTTTGTTTACGGTGTGGTGTGTTTATTTACAATTTTACTCTATTTGGTGAATGAGTAGGGGTAACCACCCCCCTCATTCCCGAGGGGGGAGACATCTCGGTGTTCCTTTTATTTACCGGGCCAGGCTTGTGGGGAAGAGGCCTTTGTCCTCATCGACACGGCGACAAGGTGCTTTGACGGGGGGTCCCCCTTGGCAAAGTACCCTCCCCATGTTAAGGGCATGTGGCCTGGTATGGTGCGGGAGGGGGGCTTGTCCCCCCCTTCCTGCTCTGCCAGGCCGCTGCTCAGATCAAGGGTCTGGTAAGCGATTTTAAAATTCCTACCAGACCTGAAGGGTATAAATTGGGGGGTGGGGGAACCGCATGTTGTTGTTTTTTGTTTTGTTTCTGTGGACTGTAAAAAGTTAAAAAAAATGTATGTCACTTTGCTGCAATGAACGTTCATTCGTAATTATCGTTTAACTCATCTAGTGTCAACTTCTAGACACAGGATACTTGCAGCCACTTGCAGCCACTCGATGCGATACAGTCTATGACTGACCCTGTTTTACCCCTGTGGAGTGACATGCCAGGGCTTTCCTCCTTCTTTCTTGCGCTGCTCCTGGGTGGGCCCTTGGGCCCCCCGACTTTCAGTTTTCTTATTGGACTCCCTCCTCCACTAATGTGCTTTGATAACTTTTTCTGCCAATGACTGCTTTCTTCCACTGGACTGGGATCCCTCAGAAGTCAAAGTTATAGTTGGTACTCCATGTTATTTACACAGCCCCCATCTATTGCATTTTTAATGTATAGTATCCTATACAGCCCTACGCCTTAGAGTGGGATTCAGGGTTTTTGGTTTGGGATATCTCTGAATACGGGGGAGCCTGCTTGGGAGCGCAATTGCTACTAACCTGTTATCTGTATATTCCTTTTTACCTCATATATTCCTTATGTACTTAATTGTTAAGACGTCTTATTTACTACCTATTTTTTATTCTGTTTGTTCTGAAAATTTTTGAAAATAAAGAATTTTAAAACAATGCAGAATCCTTTGAGCTGATGACATTTGCGCCATCAGCTCAGTTCACTTTACGCGGCAGCAAAACAAATCAAATACAAAAGGCATAGGTGTACTAAGTAATTCTGATTTATAATTAACCTGAAGGAATCTGACTTACAGCTGGCAAATGATAACCAAGAATGGATAAAAAATATAACTGATAAAAAATATTGCTGATTATTGTTTTCTATCTCAAAGTGACAAATTGAGTCCCCATGTTAATTTTATTATCTCCCCTTTCTGTCCACTTACAGTTAAAGATAGATGAATTTGAGTCTAATGTCAATGAAATAAAGGATCCTTATCCCTCTGCAGATTTCCCAGGTAAGACAGAAGCTTCATTATTTATTCTGTATTTGAATACTATATATATATAAATTCTTTTTTTTTTTTACTTTAGTATTTTTTTTTTTAATAATACAATACATAAAACACACTTTTACATCCATCGTTACATATTTAGAACAACAATACAAAACAAACGACAATACAATAAAACAAAAAAAAATCCTTCTCATCGTACCATATTACTTATAACACATTACTTCTCAAAATACCAATAGGAAATAAGGGAAATATTATAACCAAACTCCTTTACTATATTCAATCCACTTATCCCATATTTTACCATACTTATCGATAGTGCCTCTGTGTTTGAACATAATTCCCTCAAATCCAACTACTTTATCTACTTCTTTCTTCCACTCCTTCACTTTTAGGTGGATTTTGAAATCCACCTAAAAGCTATACTACGCAGAGCCAAAAAAAATGCCCTTGTTATTGCCACCTTCGTATAATGCTCCACCTTCATGGATCCAAAAATACTCAGAATACATAACATTGGATTATTAGAAATATGAACTCCAAAAGGTATATTTATTATATCCACTATATCCTGCCAATATCGTTTCAACTTCGGGCATCACCACAGCAAATGTATCAACGAGCCAGGTTCAACCCCACAATTTGGACATTTAGAGTCTTCCCTGAGTCCTATCCTATATAGGAATTCAGGGGTCTGGTATGTTCTATGTACAATATAGAGCTGTGTTAATTTATGCGATGCAGACGGTGAAACGGTGAAACAAACTTATTCAGGACTCCAGGCAATAAGTTTGCATACATCTTTGAAATCACCCCCAGCGTCGTAGTTGTATCAAAAAGTTTATCTACAGCCGCATTTACATTAATATAAACCTCGTGCACACCTGGATGTACCATGAGAGCATGCCTTAGTTGCAAATATTTATAGAATTGAGCATTGGACATTAAATAACTTGCCTGTAACTGTTGGAACGAGCACAAGACACCATGATCATACATTTGCGCCAATGTCTCAATCCCCATTTTCTTCCATATTCCAAATCCTTGGAGTTTATTTACCTAATACAGTACCTCATTATACCATATCGGAGTGTACTTTGTAAACCCAGAAATATCCAGCAACCCCTTAAAGGAGAATTATGAGGCAAGTGATTTTCACTCAGCCTCATAATCTGAGCCAAACTGTGACAATGAAACTGTCACAGGTCGGCTCAATAGATCGGGAAGTGAGCGAACACATACCATCGCTTGCTAACTTCTCGATTTATCCCTGCAGAAAGCTGGGACTGTCACTCACGGCTCCCTGCAGGGATTTCCCCCCCTCCCCTGTCCGATCCTCCAGCGCTCACTGGCGGAACAGACGGGGAGGGCACAGCTGGCTCTGCCTCTGGATAGGCAGAGCCAGCTGTCAATCCCGCAGCTGGGTGGATCTCGACAGCAATGTCGGGATCCGTCCCGGCTACAGCTCGCGGTATACTGAGCTTTGGGTGATGGGAGAACGCTAGTTTGTGTTCTCCCATGACCCTTAGGAGAACTATGGGGGAAAAGCCCTAACCCCATAGTTCTCCTTTCATTGATTTCCGCATTTCACCAATTTATCTTAAAGTGGGGAAATTTGAAAATTCTTTCAAATATAAAGTAGTTTCAAGGGCCATAAGGGGGGTCTCTATTTTGAAACAAACATTTAAGGATATCATATGCCCCTATCCTCTGTCCTGACAACTTCCATTCCGCCAGGTGTCGTAACTGTGTAGCCAGAAACATTATCCATGGATTTGGAACTGCCAAACTCCTGGTTCTTTAGGGTATGGCAAAGTTTCTAGTTTTATCCGTGCTTGTTTTTTCTTCCATATCAGCTCTCTGAAATGGAAGAATTTATATTTATAAATTCTACATACAATATCATCCGAAATAAGAAGATATATACAATTCTATACACATTGTACAGTATATGAATTATAGAGATGTTAGACAAGGCTTAGCAAATGTTGGATATGGATTGTTAGGTTTCCATTTATGTTTTCATGATACCAAAATATCACTTAAGAGCTACTATAAAGCATAAATCCACCTAGATGTTGACTTATTTATATCAAATAAGGCATGATAATGATAGTAAAGAGAAAACACTATCAATGATTAATGCATGACTGAAAAGACTCTCCAGACTATTGAAAAAGGTGAGATTGAAGACCGGTCCTAGGTATTCCATTAAAGTAAAGATATAGTAAAGTAAAATATGTTTTAAAAAATTACAGTTAAACATAATACGTTAATAATCACAGCATGTTCTATGTTTGCATACGTTTCTCTGTATTTCTAATTCATTATTTCTAGGATTGCAGTTGTAGTTAACTTTCAAAACAGGCAGTGCAATGAAAGAAGATAGGCAAGAAGATATGATGATACAGATCTAGTATTAGCAGATTGAGGGTGGGGAGGTAACACCGCTGTATTCTCTAAAGAACTCCAGGCAAAAGTGTTCTTGACCCTTGCATTGGGGCTACACCTGCACTGGTTAACTGCTCGTATTTGTTCAGGTATTCACCCAAACTGCGGAGCTGGCTGCCTGCTTCCCTAGTCACTGAAGCCTCTCTGCTCCTACGCTGCAGAATTGCAATGTTCCTCAGCACAGAGGTGTCCCGAGGCCAGAAGTCGACATGAGCGGTTAACGGGTGACACCCCGTTGTGACATCACTGCACATGCGTGTGACGTCACCACGCACGTGCACGATCATGTCATCACGCATGCGTGGCGATCTTATTAATACCTACCGGCGGACATCTTGGTGATGGGCGCCGGCAGAGAGAGGAGGGGACAGTCACCCGGCAGGATAAGGTCCCCTCCTCTCTCCTAAAAAAGTCAGGCGCTCGGTTCATGGCCGAGTGCCCGACTTTTCAGAGGGGGTGACACCAAAATGACTGTCAGTGCAGAGCCGCACCCTCCTTGTGACGCCACTGCCTCAGCATCCTCAAGTCTATACACAGTGTATAGAACTTGATGATTTACGGGACCTCAGACCGCTGCAGTGGAGGGGGAGAGGCTCCAGAGACTAGAGGGATAAGAAAAATCTGGCTCAGAGGATCAGGTAACTAGACAAAGATGAGCACTTAACTCTTGCAGTGCAGGGGTAGCCCACTTTTACTTTTGTTATGCTATATTTTCATCCCACCCTCAAAATGTTATACTGTTCTGTGCATGTACCTGCCAGAGCCACACTGTGAAGTCCACTGAAAGCCGCACATCCCCTAATGCAAACTTTTCCAGTCTTTTCTGTACATATGAGAAAAAATAGTATTAATTCGTATAGAGAAGCCATCTATCATACATCCCAGCACCAGAGAACCATTACACAGGAATGAATGGTTCCATGCATATGAAGAAGTAGGGGATCTAGTGGAAAAGCTTGCAGTGGTGGCTATGCGTCTCCCCTTGGTGGAACAGCATGGATCTAGCAGGAGTACAGGCAAGTATAAAGTGGTGGCACACCCCTAGCTGTGCTTTCTGACAGAGCTTTATGAATCACAAAAGTGGGTGGACAGAATTACAAATGCTATGGCAAATGAGAGACTTCACATACTGTATGTGTATTATAACTGTCTATTTACCTGGCTGGAGTTCAACTTCAATATGAAGGGATCGATACATGGTTAATGTTTTCCTACAATTCTGCCGGTTTATTAATTTTGACTTTTCATGTCGCTTCGTTCCTTACTCACTTTTAGCTTTCTCATCATCCACATGCTTCTATGTTGTCTATCAGGTGACGATGAGGAGGAAGAACCAGAAATCCCAATAAGTCCTCGCCCTCGCCCTCTTGCAGAGCTACAGTTAAAAGAAAAGGCGGTGCCAATGCCAGAGGCCAGCTCTTTCTTTATTTTTAGCCCCACCAACAAGTGAGTCATGGTATTACACTAGACAAGAACAAAGTTCTGATACTAACTCTGCATACATCTGTGGTCATCGTAAAATACTTGTCAGGTGGTCAAAAGCAGTTTGGGATTATTTATGTCAACACAAATGCAAAGTCTTGGAATGTTTACCATAAGTGTATCTTGAATAGTGTGCTGTGATAAACAAGATAATCTTATTTCATCCTTTTTATTCTTAACCTTTACAGAATCAGAGTACTCTGCCATCGTATTGTCAATGCCACCACCTTCACCAATTTCATCCTGCTCTTTATCTTACTAAGTAGCATCTCTTTGGCTGCTGAGGACCCCATTCGACCGGACTCTTTCCGTAACAAGGTGACACTACACTCTTGGTAATAAAAAACAGGTAGCAAAGGAATGTGATATTGTACAAGAAAGAATATTTAGCAACAGAAAATGTTTGTACCACAAGTGGCGGGACACCATTGTTTAGTGAGTCATTGTTTTGGTACCCTAGAGACAATTGTCCATAGGAAGAATATAAGTGCAATATACCATATTTTTCGCTCCATAAGACGCACTTTTTTTCCCCCAAAAGGAGGGGAAAAATGTGCCTGCGTCTTATGGAGCGAAAAGGCGAGTATTTTCTTTTTGTACATTCAGCCCTGCTCCTGACAAGCAGAGCTGAATGTACAGTGGGAGCCGCTGCTTGTTTAATACACGTGATCTAATTAGATCACATGTATTAAATTGAGCGGCGGCGATCGTGTCCACCCTCCGACGTGGTTTTTCGGGGTCCCCCGCTCCTCTGGGGGACCGTGACCCATTGAATTCAAAATAGAATGCAGTTTAAATGATAAATATTATTTGTTTTTTCCTACTTCACTGATTTATAGTAGGTTCCATAAACGAAAAGTAAAGACAAACCCGTTTCTTGCCTTTACTTATCTTTTGTGACCCAGGAGTAAATTTACCAAACTGCAATGTGAGCTTTGGGCACTGGGCTTTGTCAGTGGTTCTTCCCTGACTTCCGAGTACTGTCTTAGTTAGATACTGTCTTAGTTAGATTTGAGCACTCGGTCATGGACCGAGAGCCCAACAGCTGCATGAGAGAGGAGGGGATGCGGCGGCATACCTTATCCCGCCGGATGAACGTCCCATCCTCTCTTTGCCAGCATCCATCTCCAAGATGGCTGCCAGCAGTAAAGTGTATGTGACATCACTACACACGTGCGTAATTACATCATGTGTAACAATGACGTGCGCACTGGGTGACGCTCGGCCTGGTGAAGCCCCTGCAAATGATCACTTGATCTACTCACCACCTGCAGTGGACCATATACATAAATAATGGTTACATTCACTTTCTTTTATGAATATCAATTAATTTCCATCTCCAGATCTCTATAATCCTCTCCAACAACGTGACTGACTTCCCATGTGTTTAAAATAAAGCCTGAAGCTCATTCCCAGGGTTAATATAGATGTGTCTCATGGATCCAATAGTGTAAAACCTCAATCACATTAAAAATACAAGATTAAAAACACTCACATTAAAAGGTGCTCCATCGCACCATGTAATGAATCCAATACACAAAATACCATTGTATTTCAAAGTGTTGAACCACTGTTGTTACTTCCTGGTGTTCACAGAGTACGCAGTGTGATGTCAGCATTAGGGTTGCCACCTGTCCGGGATTCACCCGGACAGTCCAGGTTTTGAGTGCCCCTGTCTACCTGACATCTGGTGTCCGAGTTTAATAGCAGCTGAAACCCGGACACCAGATGTCAGGTAGACAGGGGCAACAAAAATTAGGATAGGGGCTACTGGCCCCCCACCGAAAATAGGCTTGACTGTGATATTTACATATGAATGGTTAGGGTTATTTACATATGAATAACCTCTGACTCATGAATATGTAAATATCACAATTAATTGATATGCAAATGTTGTTTCTCCTCACCCACATTGCAGAAGATGGTACGGTCCAGCATTCTGCAGTATCTCGGTGCAGGAGCGGCATTTCAGCTGTTCTTCTTCTTGTTACATATTTACATAATATTTGAGGTTGAATAAAGACACAGGTCCATCAAGTTCAACCTTTGTGTGTATGTGTGTGACTGTGCAGGTGTAAGCGTGTATACGAGTCCCCGTGTGATCTTATTTTTAAGAGTACCTGTACCCCTGTATGTTACGAATCTCCTTTATCTGTCAGTGTGTGTTGCTATCAGCCTCTGTGGTTAACAGAAATATTGTATAGCTCTCTCTTGCCTTTTTGCACTCCTTGAACAGTTTAATTCACTTTTAATGAGACCCCTGGCTGCTTTATATTTCCATTACATTGCTTGTCAGTGAGAATACCTCTGTTACATTGCTGATCAGTGAAAATGCCTCTGTTACATTGCTGGTCAGTGAAAATACCTCTGTTACATTGCTGATCAGTGTATATACCTCTGTTACATTGCTGGTCAGTGTGAATACCTGCGTTACATTGGTGATCAGTGTATATACCTCTGTTACATTGGCGGCCACTGAGCATACCTCCATTAAGATGGTGGTTAGTGTAGGGCCGCCTATCCAATTCTCTCCTCACTATCTCTCCTGGATGTCTCTCCTCACTCCCTCTTGGCTGTTTCTCCTCTCTCTCCCTCTTGGTTGTTTCTCCTCTCCCTCCCCTGGCTGTCTCTCCTCTCTCACTCCTGGCTGTCTCTCCTCTCTCTCTCTCTTCGCTCTCTCTCCTGGTTGTCTCTCCTCACTCACTTCTGTATATTCTTGTATATGAAACCACTTCTCTCTCCTTTTATAGTGCTAAATTATAATTTCCATACAGATTAAACCAGAAATGTATTACCTACAAATGACCACTAGATGTCCCCATTGTGATGTTAGACATTCATAACCTCAAACCAGTTCAGAACAAAGTCATATCAAATCACGCTAGATGTCCCAATTATCATTTAAATAAATACTAGCTAAATGAACCCAAAGAGCTAAAAATGAATGACACCTGTTATAAGTGCCTAATTATACAGGTACATTGCACTCACTTTTTTATGAATTAGTAGATATAGGGTAGATGCAGCAGGACTGCTCCCCTTATCCTTTGGACCCAAAATGTTGTGTGGCTTAAAAGGAACAACAGGTTCAAACCTTGGTTTACTCACAACCAAACTGCTTAAGCGGAAGAGGTTAATGGGTGGAAGTAGCCAGGTCCCTGCAGGTTGCAGCAAAAAGTTACCGTGTGTCTCCTGCAGATAGGAGCAAAGTCAAGGAGAAACTACCTCACACCAAATAAATTAATTAGTAGATATAGTGTAGATTATTATTTATTGATTACAGTGCACTTTTTTAATATCGTAGAGAAGTATTTGATCATTCATTTTGGTAAAGCTGCTAGTAGTTCATTACAGGGAGTATAGTAGCGCAGATATCTTGTATCTCATTAGTCCTCCTGCATCTGGTCACTTCAGCTCACAATCCACTAACTAACCTAACCAGCATACTTTGTCCCTCCTAATGAACCTGAAACCAATAGCCTGGATCGCTGTCCCCTACTCACTCTTTGGAGTCTCCCACAACTCCATCAGGTCATCTGCATTATGCAGAGAGGACTTCTCTAATACTATGCAACATTTTATTTGCCAATAGTATACGAACAGACCTCACCATCCAGAGAATTCCAATACTTCAGACTTTATTGAAAATCACAACAAATCCAGTATAACAGTGAATTAAAGTATATAAAGCAGGAAATACCAGCACCAGGATTTGTAGTCCCCCTACAGCCGGTGCCATTCTGTATTAGAGTGTAAGCTCCCCTCTACAGAAACTAATGTGACTGGCTCAGAGATCTCTGTTCAGCACTGTGGTATATGTCAGAGCTTTATAAATGTATAATAATAGTGTGAGACTGTGGGGGGACAAGCTAAGAGTGGGAGGAGTTTTACCTGACTGGCCAATGGCTTTTTTGTTTGCCAATGTCCAAATCCTACTGCAGGCATCAGTATAACCCAATAGTATCAGAATAACTGAATCCCGTGTCTTAACTGGATTTTGTGGCAAGTACAAAAATTCTGTACAGTGCATTAATTGCATAGTACCATGCGATTAACACACTGTACCACATAATCGCACCTACCGTGCATTCTGGTGTGGAGGTGTGTTGTGTTGTACTCCAAATGCATCTCCCACCCAAAGTTTGTACTCCCCTACCGAAAAGCACAGTACCCTAATGCCATGCGTTCCATTACAATGTAACTTGGGTTGCGACTAAATGACCAAGGAAAAACCTGTGTAACCTGAGGTTACACAGGTTGAGAACCACTGTCATAGACCTCAACACTATGCTTTCATTTCCCTCCCCTTCTGGCCAATCACAAAGCAAAGGGCCCCAGGCTCCATTTTGTGATTAGCCAGGAAAAAAGGGGGAGATGCAAAGATCATTGTGTCCAGAATTGGGCTTGCCTGTGTCCAGGTGTGAGGCACTGGATTAGGGGTGCAAAGAGGCCATATATAGTAACTCTAGGGCAAAATGTTCAAATTACTAATTAAACTTGTTCCCTCCATAGCATGTGGAATGTTATGTTTAATACTGTAACGTGGGGTTAAACATATGCTTTAATACATTCTGCTTTTCAAAGATAACAAAAAAATGTTTAAGCTTTGGGTATAGAATGATTTTTCTAGACAGTCATTTCATTCGGCTCTTTGACCCCAAGCATTAAAGTTACACCACATTTTTTTCTTTTTTTCTTATGTTTCAGATTCTTTCTTATTTTGATTATGTTTTCACTGCGATTTTCACAACTGAAATTGTTCTTAAGGTAAATGCTACAAAAAATTTCCAAATCTTTTTCCCTTATATGTTTGTACATATTTTATATTATTCTCCTTTCTCCTCACAGATGACAACATATGGTGCCTTCCTACACAAAGGTTCCTTCTGCAGAAATTATTTTAATATTCTGGACCTTTTGGTGGTTGGAGTTTCCCTCATCTCAATGGGCATTGAGTGAGCACTATTACATATTTTTTCCCTCTAAATGTTGTATGGCATTATATAATGCAGCTTAACAGCATCACTTAATAAAATGAAAGTTTTTAGTTGTCTGGTTACCTTGGGTTAAAGCTGTGTTTCTCACCTTTGACAGTACTATCTGGTTGGTCAGCTTATCTCAAAATCTGTTGTATACAGTATCTCAGTGCTTGCTATGCAATGCTTCATTCTTTTTTTTAAAAGGGTTGATTTATCAATGTTTTCACCCAAGATCCACACAACTTTTATCCAAGACTCACGCATTTTTTTAAAGAAGAACTCCGGGCAGAGTTATTCTTAACTTTTGCAGTGGGGCTACCCCCACACTGCAAGGGTTAAGTGCCCCTTTTAATCTAAGAGCTAAAATAACAAATAAATACTCACCCTAACCTTGGATCCAGCTGGCTGTTAAACTGTTCCCTGGAGCCATTGCTCCTTTCCCGCTTCAGCGATGGCATTTCCCTCGGTGTCCCTACAATGCTCCTACACTGTACAGGACGTAGTAACTCAGAGGACTTTAGACCGCTGGCGCAGAGGGGGAGAGAGACTACAGGGACCTATCTAACAGCCAGCCAACTGCATGGTTCAGGTGAGTGTAACTTTTTTTATTTTCGCCACTAGACGAAAATGAGCACTTAACTCTTGCAGTGCGGGTAGCTCAGCTGCAAGGGTTAAGAAGATTTCTGCCTGGAGTTCCTCTTTAACTGAATCTTGGGCAGAAAAATGTGTGACTTGACATTTGGGTGAATTTACTGAGTTTAGTTTGACAACCATAAATATTCGGTGAAGTCAGAAGTACTGGGGTGGGGAGGGTGTGGTATAGCTATTGTGGCATGAAGAAGCACCTTCCTTGAGCTCTACACCCGTCCAGGAACATTCAGCTGATCCGCGGCCCTGATACCATCAGAACCGATGCTAAAGAGGGGCAAATCACAGATGGTTAGTAGCGGGCACAGAGTGACAGACCAACATTTTTTTTTCTCTACCCCAGCCTCACTCTGACAGGACATTGCTGGAATCCTAACCTCCATCTCACAAATAGAGGACGGTTTCACCTCTTTATCTACCGGGATTCCATGCAATTCATGCTGGGCCGCCAAGAGTCCAGACATTCATTTTATGACCAGCAACTGATATCTCTTTCTCTGGCGCATGATGATTTTTAAAACCCGGAGTCGTCACAATAATGACAAACTCCGGGGCCTCCCTGAAGCCACACCACCAGCAGTCACAGTTATTCTCAACTCTCTCAAGCCTCCAGTCTCACCCTTGGAGCTAGTTCAGGTACACCGCATTGGAGGCCCCAGAGCAAATGGAGATCAGAGACCATGGGACATCCTCTGCAATGTGCATTTTGTCTCCGTAATTAATAATTATGCGTAATGCCTGGCAAAAAAATTCCCCCTTTGATAGAACTGTCTTACCGGATTTATAAAGACGCACTCTGCAAATGCGTTGGATCCTCCAGCCTCTAATAGCGGTGATCCGGCGGATGTGAGGCCTATATACTTGGGGTTATCCCTTCTGTCTCCACGTTTGCTGTAATGGCAGAACCTTAACTCTTCACCAACTGGATCAACTTCCTGTTCTTTTCTCCTTTTTGGATGCCTCCCCTGTAGATATCCCGACTGCCTACACTTGGACATGGCAGGCCCAATCTGCCCACTACCCCAGCATCATAGTAGGATGGCATCGTCTAGGAGCAGACCCCGATCTCCTTCAGACAGTGCGGTCAAACCCAGATATCAAGGGAGTCAACGTAGCACCCACCTGACATAAAATAGCAGCATATGTGGAAGATCTTTTAGTCTTCCTGTCCTCCCTCTGATATCTCCACTCCAGTTCTCCTACAGGAGATTAAGAGATAAGGTGAGCTTTCGAACTTCCTCATTAATTCACATAAATCTGAAGCCATGCTTGCTCCCTTAAATACCTAGGCATTCACCTCCCTAGAGATACGACTCAGTTTTCCTTGAACTTCCCTCCCCTCCTTTCCCACATCACATCGGATTTCAAATCATGGTCCAAGGGCACTTTTTCCTGGATGGGGCAGAGCAATACTTTAAATCAATCTGTATTACCGAGACTGCTTTACCCCCTACAGGCCTTACCTATCCACATTCCCTCATCCTTCTTTTTACTACATTTGTTTGGGCAAACAATCTCAGATTTTGCCAGTTTGGACTTTTGGCGTGAGATGCAACTAACTCACTTTTTACGCTCACTGCCTGAAGCCCATAGATTTCGCAGACCGCTCTCTTCTTTTGAACAAGAATGCAATTGTAATGATCAGGCGCAACATGCACTCTCCTTCTGCTATAAACTCCTGCCTGGGGAAGACTCTGCATCCCCACTATGGTTTCTATCGCGATGGGACGAGGCTTTCTCCCTTTTCTCTCTTGTTCTATTTCCTATCTTGTGTTCTTCCACTTTTCCATGTCCATTTCCCTCCCTTCTTCAGCCTTAGACGCTTTTCCTGTCCATCTATGCACATTGGCTTGGATATACCCTTATGTCACACGTTTACGTGGTTCTTCTCGTACTCCACCTTAGTAGAGCTTATGGAAAGACACACAATTCAATGGATGCTTTGCCTTTAGCTCACAGTGGAGAACAACCCATTTATATTAATTATGGTTTTTAATTCTATGAGTTTTATCTGAGACAATTCACAACCAATACCCGTTCATTTCTTTGTATTTTATGAGTATTGGTTATTCTACGTATGTCTGTTACCATGTGTATTTATACATTGTGTACCATGTTCCTTTCTGAAAAGTTAATAATAAAGAATTTATTTTTAAAAAGTCAGAAATACCCCTTGGGGTATAGATAACACAAGTACAAAGCAGTTTAATACAAAAATAGCCACATATTTTAAATTTGTACAAATCTGTGGCATCTTTTCTATTGCTATTTCTTAATGTCTTGCCTTTTTGATTTTTCTGTATAAAAGATCAAGCGCTATCTCTGTAGTCAAGATTCTCAGGGTATTGAGAGTTTTGCGTCCCCTCCGAGCCATAAATCGCGCAAAAGGTCTTAAGGTAAATAAAGCATGGCAACCACTGTTTTGCTGATGAGTGATCATTGTTTTACCTGTAAACAAATAAATAACCAATAAATTAATGTGTTGCACTAACTGCATAGTCCTGTGTAGATGTATCTTTCTATAGTCACACTATCATGAATTTCCATATATACAGTTGCAGAATTACCGCCATAGCAGCCCACATGGCTGCTATGGGACCTGGGGCAGATGGCGGCCCGGGCAGCAGTGATGCTGTGTACACGTGATCTGGGCGACTATAAAGTCACTGTCCACTTGCATAGCCTGCTACTTTGCTGGGGGGGCTTCGGACCACGGCAAATACTTTCAGAATGGAGAATGGGAGCTGACTGGGGAATGTCCGTTCCCCGATCAGCCCTGTGATCTGTGAGGCAGGAAGCACTGGGCTCACAGCTGACAGAAGCTGGCTGATATGTTGTTTACACAGGTGATCATCAGTATTGGAGGGCAGGAGAGACATTAGGGGTCTAATAGACCCCTAATGTTCATATAAAGAGAACCTGTCACCTCCAAACGCTATCATATAGGGGCTATGTGATAAAGACCTCAGAAGCTATATGGGCACCGTCCACAATATGCATCACTCGTTGTAGTTTAGTGCTTTTGCAAGGTACAATTTTATAATTAACATTTTTCATAAAAGATATGGGTGGCAATACCTATCATCTACAACAGCTTTTTACTTGACTAATAATAATAATAATAATAATAGAGTTGTTATAGCGTTATTAAAATAGAGACTAATAATAATAGATTTAGAGTTATTTAAAAATAAAAGAGTTATTCCAATGTTTGCATTTAATTTTTTCCACTTCTCTTTCTACAGCATGTGGTCCAGTGTGTATTTGTTGCCATTAAAACCATCGGGAACATTGTCCTGGTCACGACACTTCTGCAGTTTATGTTCTCTTGCATCGGTGTGCAGCTGTTCAAGGTAAACAGTGAGGAAATATTCCACTTGAAACTGACTAGAGTCCCAATGAGGACCGCACAGTACGGTTTGGTCTACCGCACCACACACATCTCTTCCACCCTACCCCTTTTCCCCTCCCCTATTTCTCTGCCCTTCTGGCTGCCTTGCCTCCTCACTAGCTTTTGTTTCCACAATGCTGATGTTGTTCCCATGTCTGTTTAAAAGTGCTCTCTAGAGCCAAACAAAACTGCTATATGGTGATGTATTCAATATTGTAGCAGCCTTTTGAACTGTCTTTTGCTTTTTTTCTTCTGAAACAATAAAAATGTATTCTAAAAAAATGTAAGTAAATAAATTATGATACATAATATATGCCTAATTATTTACATAGAATGCAGTGATGATGGCATAATATGACCTATAAAAAGATAATAAATGGGTTTTTTCCCAAACATAGATTGATGATGTAAAATATTATCACTTTCTGCAGTTTAGAGCATAGTAGACATGGCTTTTGTGATTCTAATATTTCTATAAAACCAAATATTGTATATTATCTCCAGCTACAGTGGCTACATACAGTATGTCACTGTAACAATATACAGTACATGTACTGTAACAATGTAAAAATATTCCACTTATAACAATAAATCTCATCTTCTTTAAAAAAAACTTTAAGTCAAGGCAAAGCAAGTTGAATTTGTCATTTTTTTCAGGGTAAATTCTACAGCTGTACTGATACAACCAAAATGACAGCGGAAGAATGCAGGTAGGTTCACTAACAATAGTCATTCCATTATAGCTCTATGTCATGCTTTATGTTTTCTTAAAATTATCTTTCCCTTTACAGAGGATATTTTTTTGTGGCAAAGGATGGAAATCCAGCCCATATGGAGGCAGTACCCAGAGTATGGTCACATAGTGAATTTCATTTTGATAACGTCCTTTCTGGCATGATGTCTCTTTTCACAATTTCCACCTTTGAAGGCTGGCCAGAGTAAGTATTAACCACCTAATATTCAATGTTATTAAAACCTTTGTTTTGTTAAATACAGAAATAAAGGCCATTTTTGTTAACAGGAAAAAGGCCAGGCTTGCTAAAATTACATTAAAGTTCATGGAAACACTGAGGCAAAGTTGCCGAAGGCAGCCGAGTGAATAACCTAGCAGAAGTGAAGTGAGCCGAACGACGTTTGGGTATTCACTCCGGCTCAGTACGGCTGATTTCAGAGGGATTTTGACTCAGCTGATCCAACATCTGGATCGGCTGAGCCAAAGCTCCGGCAGCTCACTCGCTGGTGTTCACCCCTATTCTCATAGGGGCCGAACAGCAGTGAGTGAATAGCCGAATGCCGGTGAAAGTTCTCCCCGCTTCGGCTGTCACTTCAGCTCAAGTCGAGCCGAAGCATATGCCTTCGGCTCAGCTGAGCTGCTCAGCTGCCTTCGACGGCTGCACAGGCTATTCTTAATAGCCCGTACAGCAGCCCTTCAGTTCGACTGAAATGAAGGGCAGAGGCGGCCGAAGAGAGCCGAAGGATAAGCCGAAGCTATGGATCAGCCAAAGCTATGACTGGATCCTTTGGCTCTTTAGTGAATAACCCCCCCTAAGAATGCTCTTCTTCTATTTTCTCCCTTTGGCACTGTAAAATATACAATTGAAAGTATTTTGTTATATCCATTTGATAAGTGTAAACGTACCGGGGACAAGGTGCTTTTCCAGGGGAGATCCTGGAAAAGCACCCTACCAGTGCCGAGGGTATGTGGCCTGTTATGGGAGGAGGGGGGCACGTTCGCTCCCCCCCCCCTTTCCTGCCCTGCCAGGCTTGGCTGGGATGAAGGGTCTGGTTTGAAATTTTAGGGGGGCCCCATGTTTTTTTCCCATTTTTGGGGGTGAGGTTCCTCCTTAAAATTTCTACCAGACCTGTTGATCCTGCCAAAATTAATTGACTTACTGTTCCACACAGCGGAGTGTTTGAGCATTGTCACCCTTAGTGATGAGCCGAACACCCCCCTGTTTGGTTCGAATTTAAACTTTAGAACATGGAAAAAGTTCTAATTGGAACTCAAACTCAATGCAAGTCTATGGGACTAGAACTTTGAAATTCAATTGACACCATTTTGAAGGCTTATATGCAAGTTATTGGCCATAAAAAGTGTATGGGGATCCGGGTACTGCCCTGGAGGACATGTACCCATGAAAAAAAACTCCCTAAAAATACAGTTTTTAAAGGAGCAGTGATTTTACCATCACTTCAAGTGAAACAATCAAAATGAAAAGTTCCCCCTTCCAAACAATACCAGACCCCTTAGGTCTGGTAGGAATGTTAGGAGGGACCCCATTTAAAAAAAAAAGGAAAAAAAAACTATGGGGTTCCCCCCAAAAGTCCTACAATACCCTTAAGGTCTGGTAGAAATTTTAAGGAGGAACTCCACCCCCAAAAATGGGAAAAAAACATGGGGCCCCCCTAAAATTTCAAACCAGACCCTTCATCCCAGCCAAGCCTGGCAGGGCAGGAAAGGGGGGGGGGGGCGAACGTGCCCCCCTCCTCCCATAACAGGCCACATACCCTCGGCACTGGTAGGGTGCTTTTCCAGGATCTCCCCTGGAAAAGCACCTTGTCCCCGTGCCGATGGAGACAAGGGCCTCTTCCCCACAAGCCCTGGAGTGTTGGTTGTGGGGTGCAGGCAGGGGGATTATTCACATCAGGGTTCCCCTTTAATAAAGGGGCACCCAGATGCGCCCCCGCCCCCTTGTGAATGAGTAATTGGTACTTGTATCCCTACCCATTCACTACAGGGTTAAAATAAATTGTAAATTAAAAGACCAGACTTTTGAAAAAAATCCTTTATTTGAAAAAAACAAGTTTTTGACAAGTCTTTTATTGTAAAAAGAAAAAAAAAAAATGGATCCACTGACGTAATTCAGCGTCAATCACGACGTCCAGCGTTGTCCACCTCGACGGAAAAAAAATAAAACAATAAAAAATAAATAGAAATAATCTTTTTTTTTTAAATGATGCCCACCGTCCCGTCCGCTCATGACAAACTCACACCGCAGAATGGCATTTTGACAGATGGTGGCGGTGACAGCTAGCTCCACCCAACTGTTTACAGTTGTACACGTCTGACAGATGAGCCATGATTGCTCATCATGACTTTGCCCAATCATGGCTCTTACAGAGTACTGGGCCCTGATTGGGCACAGTCTTGCACTTGACTTGTGGCCAGGTGCAAGGCTAGCCAATCAGGGCTCACAAAGCACTGTACAATGCACAGTGCCTTGTGGGGTACCCTGACAGTTTGTGTGTTCGCCGAAAGCACGAACTGCCGATGTTCGAGTCAAACTCATGCTCGATTTGAATATTGAGCCCATTCTAGTCACCCTAGGACAAATGTGTTACTATAGAAAAAAAGAGCCTGAAAAAAATAAAACTAATGCAGCCACCACATCTATGGACTGGTAAGCTGTACATTTGCAAAGCTGCTAGATGTTTAGCAATAAGAAGAGTTATTTTAATATTTTAATAGTAACAATTCTGATACTTTTTATGTTATTAGGTTACTGTACAGAGCTATAGACTCGCACACTGAGGATATGGGACCTATCTATAATTACCGCATAGAAATTGCAATTTTCTTCATTATCTATATCATCCTAATTGCCTTCTTCATGATGAACATCTTTGTCGGATTTGTCATTGTCACCTTCCAGGAACAAGGAGAGCAGGAATATAAGAACTGTGAACTAAACAAAAATCAGGTAAAAGTTAATAAAGTTTTTTTTTTTTTTTCTCGTAAGAAATGTTTTGCTTTTTTTTGCAGAAGATATTGTTATATTTTAGTGTTTATCTTTTGTTATATGCAAGTTTGTTTCCTCCAACAGAGACAGTGTGTGCAATATGCCCTGAAAGCCCGTCCCTTGCGGCGGTACATCCCAAAAAATCAATACCAATATAAGATATGGTATGTAGTGACCTCATCATATTTCGAGTACTTGATGTTTTTCCTTATTACTCTGAATACCATCAGTCTTGGCATGAAGGTAAATATTTATTGTCACTTTTTTATTAACCCAACAAGCATTACTATATACAATTGCTTTTTCTGTGTCTCCATTTGGTGCTTTCACCCTTATTCCTCTATCTAAATCCTGATATAGCCTCACTGTTTACTCCTCTTTTTCTTTGGAAATGGGACCAAGTATGCAGAATCCTCTATTATGCCAATTCAGAACTGCCTGCAATATTTCTGTCTTAGTAAAATGGAATGCTTCAAATATTGTTATCTCTATTATATACGCTTTTTCTAGTGTAGAATGCATAATGATTTTCCCATAAAGGACATAGAGCCAAAAATAAGGAACAAGTGCTGGAGCTATATGCAAACATTTCCTGTCCAAGTCTAACCTGGCATCACCCACCTGCTTTCAAGCATCCCTAAGGCCACCATCCCTAGCCCTATAATGTGAAGCCAGTCTCACTGCCCAGTAGGTCGGCAAACGGAGGGAGCATCAAAGTGTCATTTAATGTGTATTATTATTATTATACAGGATTTATATAGCGCCAACAGTTTGCGCAGTGCTTTACAATAAAAGGAGGACATTATAGTTACAATATAAGTCAAGACAAGATGGTTAGAAGGGCCGTGTCCATAAGCTGCATGTGGATGAATTGTTTGAGAAAGTGCAGTGCAGGGGCGGACTGACAACACATGGGGCCCCCTGGCAATACAAGATTATGGCTTATGCTCCGCCCATATACAAGCCCCACCTGTATATACATTCATGCACCCAGTGCATCCCTCTTTCTATACTTATCACCTCTGCATCCCCTGCATACCTCTTCCTACACTGTTCACCGCTGTACCACCAGCATCCCTCTTGCTACACTTCTCACCTCTACACCCCTTGCATCCGTCTTCCTACACTTCTTACCTCTGCAGCCCCTGCATCTCTCTTCCTACACTGCCTCTCTTCTGACACTGCTCACCTCTGCACCCTCCGCATCCCTCTTCCTACACTGCCCACCTCTGCACCCCCTGCATTCCTCTTCATACACTGCCCACCTCTGCACCCCCTGCATCCTCCTTCCTACAATGCCCATCTTTGCACCCCCTGCAACCCTTTTCTAATGCTTCTGACATCTGCACCCCCCTTTATACACTGCTTGGCAGGGGTCCAGAGGTGAACATCTTCCTTCGCTACAGGGAGCCTATACTGGGTTCAGCAGCCTTATGCTAGCACTGACTAGCATGTAGTGACCCCCATCATATGTACACAGAAAGCATGTAGTGACCCCCATCATATATACATAGAAAGCTTGTAGTGACTCCCCATCATATACATACATCAAGCATGCAGTTACCTCATCATATACACACAGAAAGTATGTAGTGACCCCCATCATATATACACAAAAAGCATGTAGTGACCTCCATCATATATACACAGAAAGCATGTAGTGACCCCCATCATATGTACACAGAAAGCATGTAGTGACTCCCATCATATATACACCCAAAGCATAAGGTTAACCCATCATATGTACACAGAAAGAATGTAGTGACCCCCATCATATATACACAGAAAGCATGTAGTGACCCCAAACATATGTACACAGGAACCACATAGTGATCCCATCATATACACACAAGAAGCATGTAGTGTCCCCATCGTATACACACAGGAAGCAAGTAGCGAACCCCATCATATATACACAGAAAGTACGTAGTGACTCCCATCATATACACATAGGAAGCATGTAGTGACCCCATCATATATACACAGAAAGCTCGTAGTGACCCCCATAATATACACAAAGGAAGCGCGTAGTGACCCCATCCCAACATATACATCTACCTGTAGTGACCCCCATCACAAATAGACAAGCAGCATGTAGTGACCCATTTCTCGGACAGTCAGTGTCCCCTACGTAGTATGCAGCAGCCAGTACAGACGTGCAGTGCCTCCCCATCAGACACCCACTGCCCATGCTGCCCCAATCTGGGTTGCACTCCCCTTGCCTCTCCCCAATCCAGGTGTGAAGGCCAGTGAACACAAGGCATCCGGGTCACACAGCAGGGGGGTGTCCACACAGCTCTTCTCTCTGGGTCACTCGCTCTGCACTCATCCAGCGCTCTGCATCCTCCTGTCAGTGCTGAGATGCAGGGCCAGTGCATGGATTTTTGCAGCACAGGGCAGCTGCTTTGGGTCCCACAACAATGACTGGGCCCGGGGCAGCTGAGCTGCCCATGGGCCCCCTCCTGGCCACATGCCCTCGGGTGGTGCCCGAGAGCTCAAATGCTCAGTCCGCCCCTGGTGCTGTGGTTAGGTTGGGATGGAATAGGCTTCCCTGAAGAGATGAGTCTTTAGGGATCACCTAAAGGCAGACAGAGTAGGAAATAGATGGACAAGTTGGGGTAGGGAGTTCCATAGGGTGGAAGAGACTCTAGAGAAGTCCTGGAGGCGAGCATGGGAGGAGTTGACGAGGGAGCTAGAGAGCAGGAGGTCTTGGGTGGATCAGAGGGGACGGTTAGGGTGATACTTTGAGATGAATTTGGTAACTTATCTAAGGGCTAAGTTATGGATGGCTTTGTAAATGATTGTTAATGTTTTGAATTTTATCCTTTGGGCAACTGAAAGCCAGTGGAGGGATTGGCAGAGGGGGGTTGAAGACACTGAGCGATTGATTCGGTGGCTGAATCAAGCAGCAGCAATCATAGACTGAAGGGGGGGAAGTTGGGGGAAGTTGCAAAGGGGGATGAAATATCATGAGATCAGTTTTTGAAAGATTGAATTTTAAGAAGTGTTGTCACATTCAGACGTGAGTTAGTAAACTAGTGATGTGCAAGAACATCAAGGTGAGTTGAGGAGTGAGTTGTGGAGTGGAGAGATATATTTGAGTGTCATCGGCATAGGGATGGTATTGGAAGCCCTGCGAGTTTATCAACTGACCAAGGGAGGATGTGTAGATACAGAAGAGAAGGGGTCCAAGGACAGAGCCCTGGGGGAGCCCAACGGAAAGAGGAAGAAGAGAGGAGGAGTCAGATATGTAGTTGCCACTAAAGGAGCGCTTAGATAGGTAGAAGGAGAACCATGAGAGAGCAGAGTCTTGAGTTTTTTGAGGAGCAGCTGGTGGTCAAGTGTGTCAAAAGCAGCAGAAAGGTCTCATAGCAAGAGTAAGGAGTAATGGCCATTGTTTTCAGCTGTTCAGTAAGTCATTAGTACGTTTTAGGAGGTATTGTATGTGTATTTTAACTGTAGGCATATATAGTAAATATGAAGATCTTTGACCTGTTTTCTGTCATATATGCAGCACTATGGACAGACTGCAGAGTTCAGTCATCTGGCTGACATTTTCAATGTGGTCTTTACTGGAATCTTTACAGTAGAAATGTTGCTCAAGCTAGCAGCATTTAAAGCAAAGGTAAGTAAAGAGAAAAAGTCCACTCTATTAAAAAACACACCCAAACGTGAAATATTCAGAACCATTTACATTCATGTAATCAATAATTATATCAGTGATTTTGGTAATAAAGTTAATTGTCAGCTTTATTCAGTTAAGTGCAGTAACCAAAGCCAGAATTCACATGCTAATGTCAGACCTGAACAAGATGAGATCAAACAAGAGTCTGAAGGAAAACAGCTTCTGCTGTGACCTCTCTGTAGAAAACCCATAATGCCCTGTGACATCTGTGTCATGGTTGCAACCTAATATATGTTTATTTGTAAACTAAAGATTTGATATACATAGTAGGCAAAAAAGTTATTAAACATAATTTGAATAACCTCAACAATGTCAAATATAACCCCAAATCATTATAGTTTACCTTTAACAAAACTCTTTGTCTGCATGGTTTCTAACAGCAAAATCATGTCTGCAGCATTGAGAAAGTATTTTTCAAGTGTATAATGCATTCTATTTCTTGCCTTTTAGGGTTACTTTGGAGACCCCTGGAATGTCTTTGATTTCCTAATTGTTATAGGAAGCTTAATTGATGTAATTCTGAGTGAGATTGATGTGAGTAATGGTAATCATTTATTCAAGCTATACATGGGTATTATGTGATTCTATTTATTTAAATGCTCCAAATCTACTATAAGCCCTGCTCTACTCAAGTCTATAGCGAAAAGCTAGGGATCATTGATTGCAATGTGAATAGAAACCTTTCTGACAGTCCCACTTTTTCAGAAAACCAAAACACCAACAAAGTGAATAGTTAAACATTCTCTATTAATAGGATCTGCTGGTGAAAATATTTGAAGAACGACAGTAAAATCCTGCTGCATATATTCTAGAAATATTGTATATAATACTGTACTATTATTTTATTTATTTCAGAAAGGTAATTAATAATATATCATTAGATTTTATTTATTTACTTGAGCAGTTTTTCAGAGTGTGCTCCATTCCTTTATTTGTTTTTAGTTTAAAGTGAAACTATGGTCAAAATAAAAAATGACATATATAATGCAGCCTGTAACTAGTATTAGCATGACCATTTTTGTTTTTTTCTGAATTCCTCATGTAACATAGTTTATGACATAGTTACATAGTAAGTCAGGTTGTCAGGTTGAAAGTAAGTAAGTCAGGTAGTCAGGATGAAAAAAGACACACATCCGTCGAGTTCAACCTATAGAGAAAAGCTCTAACTGGGAAGAAGCCTTTCTGTATGCAAAGGTTAAATCGCTTTTCCTCCAGATGCAATGCATGCCCCCTTATCCTTTGCAGTGAAGTGAATAATATTGCACTAAGCTCACTATATGGAGCATTTATGTATTTATATTTATGTATTTATACATGGTTATCATACAGTATCCCCCCTTAATCGCCTCTTCTCAAGAGAGAACAAATTCAGGTCAGTTAATCTTTCCTCATAGCTGAGCTCCTCCATGCCTCTTATGACTTTAGTTGCCCTTCGCTGCACTTTCTCCATTACCTCAACATCATTTTTGTGAACTGGTGCCCAAAACTGAACTGCATAATCCAGATGAGGTCTTACTAATGCATTATGTTTCTCTCTCTGGAGTCTATACCTCTTTTATAAGCAAGTATTTATAACAAACTGCAGCATGACATTGCATGCTGTTATTGAGTCTATGATCTACCAGAACACCCAGACCCATCTCTACCATTGACTCTCCCAAATATTCCCCTCCGGAGAGTCTATGACGTATACATGTTTTTAGTCCCCAAGACTACACTACAGATCTTGGTGTCCACTAACAACCTCAGACCATTCAGGCCTTTTAAACTTATTGCTTACAGGAATATATTTTGCAGTGTGTTTGCGAGCAATTTGATTTCAAACATTCCTATTTCTATTCTGTGTTTTTTGATGACAATATTCCCTTCCAGTCTAAGGGGTCTATTCACAAAGCTGCCGAAGGATCTAGCCGTAGCTTCGGCCGATCCTTCGGCTAGCTTCGGCCCCAGGACCCCTTCGGTTCAGTAGAACCGAAGGGGTGCTGTACCTGCAATTCACTATAGCCCGTACAGCTCCTGAACATGACCGACGCATATGCCTCGGCTCGGCTGAGCCGTGCTGAAAGCCGAAGCTGGCCGAGCGGCCGGCCTTTGGCCGGCAGACAGCCTGCTTCTGACAGCTGGGCGGAGCCAGCCAAAAAAATTCTATTCTGACACGGCTCCGTGTCAGATAAAGAAAAAAAAAAAGAAAAAGCAGTGTTTCTCTCCAGGGCGGCCGGGAGCGGGAGGCTCCCAGAGCGCCTGGGAGAGTTTTTTTTTTTCGTTTTTTTTTAACGGCAGCAGAGCCGCCGGACAATAGAAAACTATTGGGCGGAGCTATCTGTCACTGCTAGCTCCGCACAATCGTTTTCTATTTACTTTTTTTGTACTCTTCTAACTAATTTTCTGTTCTGCTCGGTCCAGAGTAGAACAGCCGAGCCGAATGCCGCTCAGTGGCATTCGGCTATTTACTCACTGCTGTTCGGCATTTATAAGAATAGACCGAACAGCAGTGAGTAGCCTGCCGGGGGTTCGGCTTAGCCGATCCAGATGTTGGATCGGCTGAGTCGAACTCCTTCTGCACTTCGGGTTAGCCGAACATGCTGAGCATGTTCGGCCGACCCGAAGCCATGCGAAGCAAGCCGGTGTACGGCTGATTTCAGCCGATATACGTCTGAAATCAGCCGTACCAGCCTGAAGTGAATAGCCGAACAGTGTTCGGCTCACTTCACTTCAGGTCGGTCATTCACTCGGCTGCCTACGGCAGCTTTGTGAATAGACCGTAAGTCTTCAAGAGCAGCACTCAGCATTGGAAAATGTGCTCTCCTTAAATGAAGTGTTTTTATTTTTCCAGTATGTGCGTGTTGTTTACAACTAAAAAGAGAACTATGGGTTAACCTTTGTATCCCATAGTTCTCTTTAGGGACACGGTAGGACATATACTAATGTCCTCCCATGACCCTAAACTCACTATATAGTGGGCTATTGTCCGCTATATGCTGAGAGCGCCGCAGCCAGGACAGATCCCAACAATGCTGTCGAGTTCCACTTCGCTGGCTGATTGACAGCAGGCTCTGTCTATCTAGAGGCAAAGCCAGCTATGCCCGCCTCGTCCATCCCTCCAGTCTTCGCTGGAGGATTTGAGAGGGGAGGGGGGTATCCCTGTGGGGAGTGGTGACCAACAGTCACCGCTCTCTAGAGGGAGATGTTTGGGAAGTGATCGAGCGGCAGTATGTGTTCGCATTCTTCAACGATCAATGAAGCCGTCGTGTGACAGTTTCAATGTCGCACGTCAGCTCTTACTATGGGGATGGGTGTAATTCACTCATTCCATAGTTCTCCTTTAAGTTAAATGGAATCATATTATGGTCACTGATACGCAGATGTTCTTTTATATGAACATTTGTAATAAGCTCTGCATTGTTTGAGATTAACAGATCCAGCAAAGCATCATTTCTAGTTGGGGCTTCTACAAACTGTACCATAAAATTGTCATGCAATACGTTTAGAAATGTCCGCCCTTATACTGTTCCAACAGTGCCATTATGCCAGTCAATGTCAGGATAGTTAAAAATCTCCCATCAATACGACTGTCCCTGTCCTTGCAGCCCTTTCTATCTGTGTAAGGAACTGCGTCTCTACCTCTTCATTTACACTTGGGGGCCTGTAACAAACTCAAATAATTACCTTCACATGCACAGCAATATATTGCTCCACCCATAATGCCTCAGCACCATCACAATCACCATCAAGGCAGTCCTCTTTCACACTCACTTTTAGATCACTTCTCACATAGAGACAAACACTGTCACCTTTTTGTTTTACCCAGTCTCTGCGAAAGAGAGTATAACCAGGAATATTAACAGCCCAATCACGTGAAGAACAAAACCAAGATTCAGAAATACCAATTATATCATAGTGACCTTTATGTACCAAAGCTTCCAACTCGCCAACTTTTGAGATTGGTGAACAAACATTTCAATTAATTTGTACATTTTTCACTTGTAATAACTGTATCTTTTTTTGTACTACAAATAGTTTTGTAATCTCCAATGTTTGTCTGCAACACGGGAATCTCCTTATCCACTTCCAATTCCCTCCGGCCCATCTTCGACTGTTCCCCTGTGACCTGTTGATCCTGGTGATAGATCCTTAATTTTTGTACGTCCTTAAAAGACCAATTTGTTGAGCAAACATGGCAGTTACAGTGGTTGGGACAAATAATATAACAATGACAGGTGGCATACAAAGATCAGCTTTTATTTATATGGTTTAAAGTTAAAACATTTTTTTCCAAAACTGTTGCTGTAACTGTTTGAAAAGAGTTAACTGTAGTTAATGTTTCTTACTTTTCATTAGAAATTGTATATCCATCTAAGACTGCCGTAGCCACAGGGTGACAATGCTGCTACACAATTTTACTGTAGAACAGCAATAAGCATTGTCACCCTGTTTAAAGAAATGGAAAAATAACAGATCTGTCAGAATCAACAGGTGATAAACTATGTTACAGGAGGGACTTGGAAAAATAATTACTGGTAATGCTATTGTCAGACTGCATCATAAATGTGATTTTATAATTGCATTTATAGTTAATTGTTAAGTACATTGCGTAGCATCATTTCTATGCATCATGCGCGTAGCATCATATTACCTTCCTAATTTTAATATTATCAATTTGTGCTGTATGTTTGTGTTTCTACCAAGTAGATGTAAAGAGGAACAAATATGTAATGTAGTGCATCCATGATTGCCTCAGGTATGACTCTTATGTTAAGGTATCAGACTTTGCGGGACAGAATTTCAAATAGAAGAATATTACTATATAAATAATACACAATAATGTGCACAGTAGAGATTTGATATTATATTCTTCTGTATCCGTTTCAATTGGTGTTAGGGCTAAGATGCTGTTGTTTTTTGAAAGTATTGTCGAATATTTTAATAACAGTTCTATTTAATTATACCACTGTAGACCCCAGCTATGCCTATGCCGGATGATGAATCCGGACGAATTTCAATTACTTTCTTTCGGCTGTTCCGTGTTCTGCGTTTGGTGAAGTTATTGAGTCGTGGAGAGGGAGTCAGGACTCTGCTCTGGACCTTTATAAAATCCTTCCAGGTAACTGAACCCTATTATTAAAAATAATAGTGCATTAAACCTTATAATGGTCTGCAGTTTAACAGGCCCCCTGAGCCTGGGCTACTGGGGAAGCAGACAATCTATTTAACCCATTAATGCCTGGACATAGGCGGTCCCCATGGACCCATTGGCATACTTTGGCCATGGGTGTTCTAAGCATGCCCAAGGCTGCCAGCAGAATCCCTGTACCTTGCCCCCCTATTAGAGCAGGGCTAAAGTCTGCTGTTGGTGCCCAGGGCTTTTACCAGTTTGCACAGCATATTTGTATATTATGGCAGACTTACTACCAAAGCACCCCCCTACAGCGATGTTTTAGCCATGATCTCTCTTGCTGCCGCTGCGAGTCTTCTTCCACGCTCGGTGTCTTTCATCATCTTAATTAGCTGGTCCAGGATTAGGGATGTCCTGATACCATTTTTTCAAGACCAAGTACAAGTACTTTCCCTCAGGTACTTACCTGTATCATGATACCGATACTTTTTCTTAAAGGGACATGTGAAATTTTTTCTAAAAGAAATGCAGACTAATGATTTCAGGCGGTTTCTTTATAATTATGAAGAAGTGTAACTCAATCCATGATTATTCAGCAATGGACAATGGCAACCAGCAAACGTGGATTGCTGAGATTTTTAGTCCTTTAGTCCTCTATAGCCGCTTGCCATTCTCTATTGCTGTATAATCATTGTTTATACAGCAATGGAGAATGGCAACCAGCTATAGCAGACTACAGATCTCATTAATCCATGATTATACAGTAATTATACAGGGATGTGTACGGTCTCACCAGGGCTGCATTTGGGTCTCACCAGTGCTGCATTTGGGTCTCATCATGGCTGCCTGCAGATCTCACCAGGGCTGCATTTGGGTCTCACCAGAGCTGCATGCATATCTCACCATGGCTGCATGTGGGTCTCTCCAGGGCTGTACAGGTGGGTGCCAGGCTCTCCAGGGCTCTGTGGGTGGGTGCTGTTCTCTCCAGAGCTAAACAGATGGGTGCCGGGCTCATGCCAGGCTCCTGGGCTGTACAGACGGGTGTGGGCTGTCCAGCGCTGTGCTGGCCTTTACGGGCACTGGGAAGGAGGAGATGTGGGGCTGGACAGGCGCTGTCATAGACCGCTGCCGCGAGGTCCCTAGCAGGCCCTCTGAGGTCCCCAGCAAGCGTGGGACCTCAGGCAGCCGTTCTTGTTTAAAAATTGAAATGCCTTTACTATGAAGGCATTTTCACAAGTACTCGTTAAAATGCCCTGTATCAGCACCGAGTTAGTTAGTGCTGGTATCGGGACATCCCTATCTAGGATAATGCCACTCCCCCGCATACACACAAGATTTATCATCACTCATCCCAGCATGGCATGCGTAGAATGTACACTAAGAAGAATAAGAGGGAAACCACGCTGACAGGCAGAAGAGCAGTTTTTATTGCAGAGCAGGTAAACAGAGGGGATGATTTACTAAGGGGAAATAGGCTGTTTACTTTGCATGGGAATTTGCACTTTGCTTAGTTAATGTGGTGAAATGTAACTTTGCAAAGAATACCCAATCACGGACAAGGAAAATTTTAAAAAAAACTACATTTGTGCTCATACATGATTGGGCAATTGAAATCAGCAGAGCTTCACCTCATTCACTAAACTAAGGGGAAACTTCCCCTACAAAGTACAAATTTCCCTTTGCAAAGTAAATAGCCTATTTGTCAAAATCAACCCCAGAGTCTCTTCTGCAATTAAAGCCTATCCAACAGAAATGTTTAATCACGAGGCTTTAGTTCTGCTTTAAGTGGCAAATAAAATGGAGTTAAGACACCAAGCTGAGTCATCCCATACAGGCCAGTGTAAAGCACATCCTTTTTTAGGTACCTCCAGACATTTGAAAATTGTTGTGTAATCTAGATTACCTTGGAAGGATTGCATATTGGGTCCTATGTCTATAGCAATAAGTACTATCCTTGTCGCACTCCTTACCGATATGTCCCTTGTAGTGGGGGGTGCTCGCAGTGACTGTGGATGGTGCCGCGAATGTCAGCAAAATTGTAGAAATGTCACCAGCACACCAGTCCTTTTAAGATAGCAAGCGCTTTTGGGACCGCACAGGGTCCCTTCATCAGGTTTTAGCATTGACGATGAAGGCACCCAATGCTAAAGCCTGATGAAGGGATCCTGTGCGCTCCCGAAAGCGCTTGTTTGGTCATATGACAAAAAACTTCAATAAATTAAGCTTTTGCTATCTTAAAAGGACTGGTGTGCTGGTGACATTTCTATAATTTTCCTATGTCTATAGCAGTCACCACAGGCTGATTCATTCCAGGGCTAAATGTATCTTGCTGGTTCTGCAGTGTTTTCAGCTCTTTGTTCCTCTTATAAAAAAACAACTTAAGATAAATCTGCAGAGTTGATTGACTCAACTGATACTATGACAGTCATTCCATACATGATCCAAACGCTATATAATGTCTATGGTGAGCTTTAACTGTTTAAACTCTTAAAACAAGTCTCTTTGTTTGTATTTTTTCTCAGGCACTTCCATATGTAGCCCTTCTCATTGTAATGCTTTTCTTCATCTATGCAGTCATTGGAATGCAGGTAAACCTTTACTAACTAACTAGACAGAATGGGGTAAATTTATCGAAAATGGAGCATACATAATCTGGTGTAGATGTGCATTTCAACCAATCGGCTTCTCTCTTTCATTTTCCAATCTTAACTGAACAAACTGAAGAGAGAAGCTGATTGGTTGCCATGGGCAACTGCTCCAGATTTTGTCTGCTCCCGTTCTGATAATTCCCCGCAGTGTCTTTGAAAGTAAGATGTAGTATCTGTTTTTCTTTTTAAATGTAATGGCATACATAGATTTTATATTATTTCTCATGTCTCTAAAATGTGAGTTTCTGAACCTGCTTTCCTCAAGCATACAGACAATATTACCAGCTGAATTATACAGCGTCAACTGTTATTGTTACCTGTATCATGATGTTACCAACAAAAAGGTATTTTGGACGTTTGACATGCTGCTGCCTTCTGTCACCTTCTTCTGGAGTGTAAAGAGAAGTACAGGCTTTTACCATTTTTAAAGCTGGTGGGGACATGATATGAGCAGAGCAACGCTGTATTATTACACTAGTATTACACCAGAATATGCAGGAATCCAAAAAGCAAGTCAGATATTAGTCAGACTACTCAGCTGCAAGATAACATTTTATTTGTTTCTATGGATCTATAAACTTCAGTGTCTGTAAACTGCATCGTCCAGTCTAATTGCACTTTTCAGCCTATAAAAAATATTTGTAACTTGTGAAGCTTGCCAGTAATTAAATTCGGTTTTGTAAAAGCATGTTATGACCCATATACTATAAAAGTCATTAAAAAGTTGGAATAACTGTAGGTATTACATTTTATTTTCTCTTAGGTTTTTGGTAAAATTGCAATGGTTGATGGAACACAAATAAATCGGAACAGCAATTTCCAGACGTTCCCGCAGGCTGTGTTGTTACTTTTTAGGTAATAATGTTATTTTGATTTGCCTTCAGCAATGATACAAATTAGAATGAAAAGGTTAGATAACTCAAGTATAACTTTGTTAATGAAGACCTCTGGGCAAAACCTATATTAACCCTTGCAGTTGGGCAAGGGTTAAAATGATTTGTTTACCATGCCCCAAAAAAACATGGTTAACAACTCATTTTTTTTTAAAACTCTTTGTTAGCAGTGGGGGTAGCTCCACTGCAAGGGTTAATAAAGGTTGTGTCTGGAGTTCTTCTTTCAATTAACTAGCACAGTGGAGATACTTCTAGACATCACCTTGGCTTGCTGGGGTCAGGGTGTGTTACGAAAGAATTTACCAAAAAAGTTTACTGCCTTTTATGAGTGTACAGTAATTTCATTTCAAATCTGCCAAAACAGAGTAAAGCTGACCATACACTTGCAACATTAATGCATCATGCCAATATACAATAAACCAGTTCACTTTTATCTTCCATATTTACTTTTTAGATGTGCCACCGGAGAGGCCTGGCAAGAGATCTTGTTGGCTTGTTCCTATGGAAAGCTGTGTGATCCAGAGTCGGATTTTCTGCCAGGCGAGGAATACACATGCGGAACAAGTTTTGCATACTACTACTTTATCAGTTTCTATATGTTGTGTGCTTTTCTGGTAAGATTTAGTATTTGCAAGTTCTCTTTCATAGTAAAATGTACTTTTTTATCAATACTAATGTTATTCTGTCATTGTGTTTTACAGATTATCAATCTCTTTGTTGCTGTTATCATGGATAACTTTGATTACCTTACCCGAGATTGGTCAATTCTGGGTCCACATCATTTGGATGAGTTTAAAAGGATTTGGGCCGAGTATGACCCTGAAGCAAAGTATGTATAGTACACAACCTATACTATTTAAGCCAATCTGAATGTATTTATGTTTAAGTATTTGAATGGTCATATTCATTAAGTTAAAGCTTATCGGAACCTATACTATACAACGCTCGCTCACTGCCAGGGGTGCCATGAGAAACTTTGGGGCCCCTTACACAGCTTTAGGCCTGCCCCCCCAAAAAAACACCACCACTAACACACCATAGACCAGTGTCCACTGGCTGTTGCACCGAGTCCATCCACTGACCCTCCCATCAAGTCCGTCCATTGGCTCTCCAGCTTCAGTGAACCCACTTTTATTTTAATACTCTTACAACTTAATATATAAAATTGAAAAGTGTATTCCAAGTCATCAGTGCATTCAATATTTAAGAGTGAGGAAATATATTTTGGCCCAAAAATAAGTTGAGCAAGACCCTACACTAACACTAACTGCACTCCCTTTTCACTTACACTAACTGCACTCCCTTTTCACTTACACTAACCGCACTCCCTTTTCACTTACACTAACCACACTCCCTTTTCACTTACACTAACCGCACTCCCTTTTCACTTACACTAACTGCACTCCCTTTTCACTAACACTAACTGCCTCTCATCTATCCACTAGCACATCTAAGCCTGTGACCATCCGCTGACCCTCCCATCAAGTCCGTCCATTGGCTCTCCAGCTTCAGTGAACCCACTTTTATTTTAATACTCTTACAACTTAATATATAAAATTGAAAAGTGTATTCCAAGTCATCAGTGCATTCAATATTTAAGAGTGAGGAAATATATTTTGCCCCAAAAATAAGTTGAGCAAGACCCTACACTAACACTAACTGCACTCCCTTTTCACTTACACTAACTGCACTCCCTTTTCACTTACACTAACCACACTCCCTTTTCACTTACACTAACCGCACTCCCTTTTCACTTACACTAACTGCACTCCCTTTTCACTAACACTAACTGCCTCTCATCTATCCACTAGCACATCTAAGCCTGTGCAGGCTCCCAGATGGGCTAGGTGGGCTGTGTGGGCTCTCAGGTGGACTGCGGGCTCTCTGCAGGCTGTGTGCGGGCTCTCCCTCCCCACCCCCATTGTTGGACTGCTAAAACACTTACCTTACCACTCAAGCGACTCTGCTCCACTCCCTGATCGCTCTTTGGTAAAGCCCGCTACAGACCAAGCTCCACCTCCCAAAAAAGACTTCTACAAAGCTTGTCAAAATACTCAAAGCTCTTATACAACTGAAGCCCGTATAAACAAGGTGTTAGTTGTTCATTCTGGAAGGCCATGGATGCATAAGATTCAGCAAGGATCCCACTTTTATTTAGGAGTAGAGGGCACAGGGGATTGTGGGACAGTGTTATTTGCCCCATATAATATACTTAATAAGAAAAGTATTATTTGCCACTAACATTTTTTAGAGCTTTTGGAATTACATAGCTGCCCATATAGTTCGACCAAAAGACAAATATTAAAAACTTTGAATCAGAACCATAGACCTGCCATTGATCCAAGTTCACATAAGCCTTCTAGCTGTTTATAAGGAACCTGGCTTAAAAGTATTCACATTAAGATTCAGGCAAAACCATCCGAAACGGACAGAATATCCAAGAGACATAAGAAGTCAGAAAGCAAAGTCTACAATTATATCATTTTTATGTGGACTGGTCTACAGCTGTTACATCTTTATGTATCATTCATATATTTTTATATATTTTATATTTCGTCATAAAATTCAGTAGCTACAGAATTAAAGTAACATTGGAGTTCTTTAACCCTTGAATACTGATTTTTTTCTTCTCTTTCTTCACACAGAGGAAGAATCAAACATTTAGATGTTGTTACTCTTCTAAGAAGAATCCAGCCACCTCTGGGATTTGGAAAATTCTGCCCCCACAGAGTGGCTTGTAAGGTAAGGGGAAAAATCATAGCGAAACGGCCACATATTTATTTTTTAAATGTACTTATTGGTAAAGGACACCACCCATTGTCCTGTCAATTATGAAAAACACCTCCCTTAAGGCATGTTCTAATTCTCTGGAGTGTGTTCAGGGGAATCTCTGCACTTTCAGACACACTTACACCACACAGACTGCTCAAAGAAAGAAAGACAAAATGCTTGGCCTAATTGTTTGTTGAGCAGGCCATTCATTCTTAACAAATCCAGTTTAATTCAAAGCAAAAAAAAAAACTGCAGGACAAAGGTTCTGATATACATTATGCTACTATCCCCCAATTCACTAGCCACCTAATAATGATATGTAAGTAACCTGCTTTAATATACTTAGGAGTGCACAGAAGCTAACATTCAGTGCTTTTTGCTCTCTTTGTAGAGATTGGTCAGTATGAACATGCCATTGAATAGTGATGGCACAGTCACCTTCAATGCCACTTTATTTTCACTGGTGAGGACAGCACTGAAAATCAAAACTGAAGGTAAGAACATATTTATGAGTTTACTTCATGAACAAAGTAAACTACAGAAGCTGCTGTTTACTAAGACATTTATAAAAAAAAGTTTGTGTATGTGCTGTAGGACCATCTAGTAAGCCCTTATGCATGTGGAGCCTGTGGAGAAGACTGTAAAAACAAAGCTTCTCAATATATCTATAGAATTTTAAAAATATATTATATTAATGAGCTCCTGGTGTTCTCGAAAGCTAGCTGAAGATACAGCAGCTAAATATAGCCACTAATGGCACAGTAGACAGGGATAGAGGTATACTGTCCAAATCCCTGCAATAAAAGATATCATTAAATATTGCTTCATGGATATGTCTATAAAAGCCATCTCAGAATTATAAACTGCTGATAAGCTCTATTCAGGTTGCCATTTTACTTGCTAACCACTTAAGGGCCTGCTACATTATGTAAACATCCCTCAATTCAATAAATCCAGTCTGTAGGTCTTTCAGGGTGGGGTGCTTCAAAAGAGGTCTAGAAATGATGGCATCTGGCTAATCTATTCATCATGCTCCAAAAAGACGAGAGGAATAATTGAAGGGAATTATGGCAATTAGTGATGAACACTGGAGAGCGGATGTACAGTATGGGTCAGAAAAGTGTATGTTCTACTTCCTGTGCGGCAGAACAAATTACAAGCCACCTGAGAGGGGCCATACCAGATCACCAAACATCTGAAAGATGTCACCTACCTTGTTAGCCTGGGAGCAGGCAGTAGGCGGCAATAGGCATTCCATGTGAGCATGCTCAAGATACATCATGAGTGCACAGCTTATGTCCTGCCAGTGTGTAGCCAGTGTGTAGCCAGCCTGAGCCAGAAGAGGCAGACCCACTGTTAGACTTATTAGGGGACACTAGGGAAGGAGACTTACACCTCAATATCAATGCACACCTGTCTTCTCCCCAGATACATCAGCTGCAGGAATTGCTAGGAGTGTACCGTGACCAATTAACTGGGAAATCCAGGAGGATGCACCTTGCTGTCCACCAGGTGAACACTGGGGTGCATCCTTCAATAAAACAGTCGGCTCATTGAGTCTCAATAGAGGTGCAGGCAGACATAAAAAAGGAAATTGAGAAAATGCTGCAGCTGGGGGTCATTCATAAGTCCCACAGTGCATGGGCATCACCTGTAGTCCTGGTCCCCAAGAAGGATCAGAGGACCAGGTTCTACATGGACTAGAGAAAGCTGAATACCATCTGCACCGCAGATGCCTACCCCATGCCCAGGATTGATGAGTTGTTGGATAGGCTGGCAGCTGCCCACTATCTAACAATCATGGACCTGAGCCCAGGGTATTGGCAAATTCCTTTCGCACCTGAGGCTCAGGAAAAATCGGCATTCATCATCCCATTCAGATTATTCAAATTTATAGTAATGCCATTTGGGATAAAGAATGCCTGAGCCACATTTGAGAGGGTCATGAATGATCTACTGGAAGGGCTAGAGACCTTTACAGTAGCCTACCTGGATGACATTGCGGTGTTCAGTCCCACTTGGGATGAACCTGGTGCACCTGTCACAGGTCCTGGACAAGTTGACGGTAGCCAATCTGACAGTCAAATCTGGTAAATGTCAGACATGACTGAAGTCCAGTACTTGGGACACCGGGTAGGAGGAGGCACTCTGAAGCCTGAGACTGGGAAGATGGAGGCCATCATGGCCTGGCCTACCCCACAAACAAAAAAACAACTTATGTCATTTTTGGGCACAGCTGGTTACTTTAGGAAGTTTGTTTGTAACCATTGTAGCCTGGCAAAGCCCCTAACTGACTTCATAAAAAAAATTGCCTATGGTAGTGTCCTGGAATCCAGAATGTGAAAGGGCATTTCAGGCCTTAAAGGAGGCACTGTCCAGCGATCCTGTGCAAACCGACACATCCACATATGGTTTGGGCGCAGTTCTGAGTCAGGTAGACCAAGCGGGATAAGAATATCTCATTCTCTACATAGTTACATAGTATTTGAGGTTGAATAAAGACATTAGTCCATCAAACTCCTTAATGACCTGAGCAGGAAGCTACTGCCCAGAGAGGTAGCATATGCCACTATAGAAAAGGAGTGTCTTGCGATCGTGTGGGCGTTACAAAAGTTACAACATTATCTTTACTGACGCACCTTTACAGTACTCACTGATCATGACCCATTCAGCTGGTTATGCTGAGTTTCTGGGATTCATATATTGCTGGGATTTGTAGTCCTCTATAGCCGGTGCCATTCTGCATTGTTTTATAATGTATTGCTGGGATTTGTAGTCCCTCTACAGCTTGGATTCAGTGGCAGAACTACTAGAGTTGCAGTGGTTGCAGCTGCAACCAGGCCCTGGCGCTCCAGCACTGTCCTAAAATCATTAGTCTTTATTGTTTTAGAAAAACTGTCACATGACACTAAAAAAAAGGAATCGTAATTGGTATCGGTGAGTAGTTGAGGAAAAGTATTGATACTCGTACTCAGCCTGAAAAAAATGGTATTATGTCGTAATTGGTATGTGTGGTAAATGATTCTTAACTTTAAAGGTGCACACAATGTTTATGCAACCGAGCCCAAACTGCAAAATGTTCAGTGTTGCCACAGGGTAAAGTATGCTATGTGTCTACTAGCTTGCAGCCTATGCCACTGCTTCTGCAATTAAAAATATTTGTGGCTATTGTCTCTTTGAAATAGTTGATTCTTGATTAAAACTTGCCTGGTTTCTTCCTGCGAACCTGGTAAAAGTGCTTACATATTGTGCATGGAGCACAATATGAAATAATTACATTCTAATGTTGATTTCTCCCCGGTGTCTTTCCTTTTCAAAATGCAACTTAATAAAACTGCTTAAATACTTTGTATTATTTCACAGAAAATAGTCAGCAACATGTTGTGCTGACTCCCTACACTTAAATTTTTCTAAACTTCATAATACGAACTCCCTAGTTTTTCTCTTTTACACTGCAGTCCAGTCAAGCCGCTTCCATACTCTCCAGCCATTTTACTTTTATGTGTAACTATTGAATCTCTGAAATATGGCTATGTGGAGCTGTAGTTTAGACATGTTTTTGTGGACTCTTTTTCTTGTAAAACGTTTAGGACAATACAGTGTGGTGCTGCAAAAAAAAGGTCAAAAAGTATACTATGAAACTGTTTTGCCACTGGCCAGTTGGTACAAACTTGAGGGTTTTAGAATAAACTTACCTGTAGGTTTTAGGTCTGTTACTTTTACCTGTCCATTTAGGCCTATTACCACTGGATAAAAAACTACCTATGGATAAATCACACAAATGTATTATAGAAACTGAAATTTTCCCTCTCCAGTTCTTATGCTGCCATCCTTATAGCGGAGCTAAACTTATGCACAACATATTTGAGCTAATGCTCAAATATGCTGTGCATAAGTTTATCTCCACTATAAGGATGACAGCATAAGAACTGGAGAGGGAAAATCTTCAGTTTCTATAATACATTTGGTAGACATTATGTTTGGTGAGCCTGCCTAATGACAGGCTCACCGAGCAAAGAAATTCTTCCACACCATACAGAATTGGGACCACTGGTAACAAAGTAGGTTCTTGTAGTGCAGATAGTGGTGTGCAGAACCTCAGGAATTTGAAGATAAGTCACCAGCACTTAATAGCTCAATATGCAAATAAAGTTGTTCTTATTGCAAAATGACATCACATAGGTCCATAAAGCCCAATTATTTGCATATTGAGCTTTTGGATTGCTGATGACTTATCTTTGAACTCCTCAAGGAATGCAGTGCTTGCTTCCAGGCTCAAATCTTCTGTCTTCTTTGGCAGATTTGCCTCTTATGTTTACTTGATCCAAGCACCCAGCATTTATTCTAAATATCTTACAAATTCCAGGATTGTACACTGAGCTGCATTTGTGTAGTTGTCAGGGTACAGTTAGTAAAATAAATCCTAGCAGGCAAGGGAAAAGATTTTACATACAGTGTCTCTTTTACCATACGTACCTACATACTACCAATGTTTTACATTGCAACTTCAGTTCCTCTTTAATTACTAAAAGAAACATTGTAACAGCTGGGACAGTGCATTGGAAAAGTTTCTCTCTGATCTATGTGAGCTTTGCTACTCCAATCCCAATCGTTTCTCTAATTAAACCCTTAACCTGTTTTCTAGTTCCTTCTGCCTTTTTGTACATAGCAAGACCCAGCATTTTCCTTTGATAAGATTATGACTAAATACCACCTCCCTTGACCCATTTCTGTATTACAATTATATCTCAGTACAACCTGCTCCATCATGTAGATAAGATAGATGATGAGGTACCCTTTTGCCTAGCAATTTCATACTCCTCTTTGATTCCATGTTAGATGTTGCCACTAAGAAAACTCATTTTCTATGACCTGGGGTATCACACAATGCAACCAAAGCCTACTTACAGGTGATCCTGGTGAAAACCAGGCACTCTTTATGTTTGGCTCTTTGGGGGAATCCTCACCTACCTAACCCTGGAAATATGCAGGGTGCACACAAACTCATATAGTCAGAGTGGAAGCTGAAGATGTGGCTCTACCAAAAACCTTTGCTGTAGTTAGTATAATTATTCTCTGCAAAATTAATTCAGAGCATGATATTGAAGACATACTGTAGGTAATGTTTACCGTGGATGAGAGTTTTCAATCAGGAAGAGATCCAAAACATGGTTGGGAAGATAGAGGATCCTTGGTATTTATTTTTAAGTCTCTATGAATAAAGTGGGGTCTTTGTTTTGTATTACTTATATAGTTGTTTTTTTTTAAATATGCCACAGTAACTCACTATTAGGGCTGCTGCAGCCCCTATCAGTGCTGCAGCCCTGAGAAGGGACTTTTTTTTTAGTTTTAGAGTAGGGAAAGGGTAGAAGTTTTTTTTTATTGTTGTCTGTGTCACTAGGAAAATTAAAATCCAAACATTTGTTGCTGTCAGAACAGGAAATCTTTCATTTGGGATGCTTGTTCCAGTGACATCTGTCACTGTCATGAGGGGATTTCCTGCACTTTGAGAGATTTCCTTTCAGTTTCTAGTGTGTGTACAGGGCAGAAAGAAAAGGATAATCTCTCCAATGGGACACAGATCACAATGTTATGGCTTTAGATGTACATTAACATTTCCCTCTTCATACATTGTTAATGCTTGAAACCTTCCTTAATGAATCAGCTGGTATTATTAAACACTATAGCAGCTGATAATGTAGTGTTAAATAAATGTAGTGTGTGTGATATGTAGTACAGCTGTATAGTGATTTGGGCCCACATCCGTAGCAGATAACACCACGTGGAATGATGCCCAATGTGTGGTATTTGTTACCGCTGTTCAATGTACCACAATCAGGGTTCTCTCTGATATAAGCAATTAAAAAATATTACAGTGTTAATACTTGAATCTTGAAAAACAGTGACTATCCTTGATAATCAAGAGCAGCTGGCAACTATGCTTCCACCCAGGGCCAGACTGGAACACACCTGTACCTGCACAGTCTTCCTGGGTCTGATGTCAGCTGGTGAGGGCGGTGCGGCTCCTCTTACTGTGTGATCTGCCTGGCCGCTCTGTGCTCTCCTCTGTGATCAGTGGAGCGTTTAGAGCGGCCATCGGGCATAGCTGGCCAGTCCGAACAGAAACAGGCTGAAGGTGTTAGGGCCGGCACGGCCGACCGGGCAAGTGCCCGGTTTGCACTATGGCCAATCTGGCCCTGCTTCCACCCAAAAAAAAATTCCAGATTGAGATGGAGGCTTGTAGGTTGAATCACCAGCTTATTATATCCCCTAAGGACCCCATCTCTAAGTTATGCCATCCAGAGAACCCAGTTCTACCTTAGCCATCATAAAGATAAGTAAACAAGTATCATTCTACGTGGCTGACTGCAAGGCCAATTAATCATTACTTCCCACCTAAATAACACACTAAAACACCAGTAATTTCAAATAACGTAATATAATAACATTAATTGGAAGGATAAATGGCCACAGCGATGTACACATTTACAATAAAAACAGAACATACTAAAAATAACATTACTTGTGACCGATTAACTAAATCTAACAGAAAATAGTGCAATGTAGCAAGAAAAATACTACCACTCACCGCTTATAGGAGGGGGGCAATGACCTGTTATCTATTGCACAAGCCACCAACCGCCCAATTTCTGGCCTGAGTGGGTACGCCTACCAACAGTTGCCCAAGTTCTTACTGGTTACAACGCTATAGAGCCCAGTAGCCCCGCCGTTGGCACTTCCCTACTACTCCGCCCCTTTTCACTTTGCGGAGAGCCAGTTGTTCATCTTTGATATATGGCACCGCCAGGGACCACCCAATGGACGACCAACCTAGAAGAAAAATTAGTCAGCCATATTTCCCGAAACACAAACACTACCTATAATATAGAGAAGGAATACCCATAACTCTAACTAGAAATAATGTATCCCTCCTCCCCAATCTCTACACTTGCAGAAACTAACGCTTTGGAAATATAAAATCAACAAGCCTGAATACAATCAGGGAGGGTAGGCGGGACTGACTTCTTTTCTCTCCCACCTAAAATGGTTCCCTACATTCACACTGCCCAGTAAGGTGGCCCCTTAACTCCATCCCCCGAGCTAAAGCCACCTATCACTACGCTAGCTGGCCCTCCCGCCCCCCTTTCAAACACAAACAGAAAAAAAAAACCCTTCCTTATTCAACTCTGACCTGCATCAGTCATGTCCCTTCCTCCGCCTATTGCTCCACAGTGAACTTTCTGCATGCAAAATAATATAAAACAACAATCCAGCAAAAGCAGAAAGCACAAAAACTCACTTTGGATTAAAGAGAAAGTCCCCCATCACAGGTAAGTAGACATAGAAATGCAAAAGCCAGAGCTATTACCACTACAGTCCCCAGAACATAAGAGCCATGTGGTTTATTCAGTGTCTCTCAAGCCACCCAAAAACTGAAATATCAGTTCTTTATGCACTGACTTTAGTTTGCTTGCTTGTATCATAAGAGACTAAGATATATTTTCTCCCTAGATGTTTCACATAATGTATAATGTCCTATATTTAATATGTTTCTTTTTCACTTAGGTAACTTTGAACAGAGTAATGAAGAGCTCCGGATGATCATAAAGAAGATTTGGAAAAGGACCAGCATGAAGCTACTGGACCAGGTTATTCCACCGATTGGAGGTAATTTTACATGTGTGCTGATTAAATCAGGTAGATATTAAGCTTGTCATGTCATTTATATTTTCCCAAACTCAGTAGTATTGTCTTTTTAAAATTTGTACAAAACCAGTTACATTCTAATTTTTCTTTATGTAGATGATGAGGTGACTGTTGGTAAGTTTTATGCCATCTTCCTGATACAAGAACATTTTCGAAAGTTCAAGAAACGTCAGGAAGAATATTATGGATACAGGCCTAAAAAAAGTGCAAATAATGTGGAGATTCAGGTACTTACACAGTTACCCTAAATGATATACTGTATTTCTGTGGGTTAAATTGGTGTTGATAAATAGCTTTGTACTTTTACTATCACTCATTAACCATTTCTGCCATACTGATGCCTAGTTGTTGCTATATCCATCTTCATCACCTATTTATGTAATCTGTTGCAGGCTGGTTTGCGTACAGTAGAAGAAGAGGAAGGAGGGGGTGAACTACACCGTGCCATTTCTGGAGATCTGACCCCAGAGGAAGAATTGGAAAGGGCTATGGTAGAGGCAGCCATTGAAGAAGGCATTTATCGAGTAAGCAGTTGCAAGTACAGGTGCTAGCATATCTCCAGAGATAGATAATTAGCATAGAGACTCAAATTCCAAAACCCAAATGTGTTCACTTTGAACTCCAGTTATTCCTCAATTTATGTGATAAAGGCACCCCTGCTAACCAGCAACTTTATTTTTCTGCATTGCGGTTAAACCATATGGCTTTGTCAACAGTCTAGTTGTAAAATAAAGAAGCGGCAGGATATTGATGAGCGAATTTCTATGCTGTCTTATGTAAACATGATCAGGTCGGAAGAATGACAGCACTGTATAAAGCAATAGAGCTCTGATTGTCTTATTATGCTTACCCAATCTGAATGCTTTTGTACAGCTGATCACACATCTGCTCTATGTGCACTGCCCTTAATCGTGATTGGCACGCCAATGCAGTACAGTAGAGCACAAGACAACACACCACAACCCACATAATGTGTTTTGTGGTGCATAGGCATCCCATTTATAGGCTGCAAAAATGCAACCTACATTAGCGTATCCCAACAGATTTAAAAATGGGAATTCAGCCCTAAAGGAGAAGATTTGGGAGAGTAAAATATACTCTTCCCATTACTTGGGAGTGACTGTCATATGCCGGCTCTATAGATTGACCACTGAGCGATTATGTAACGGTCTGCTGCCTGCAACTGACAGTCACCACTCCATGCGTGGATTCACTCTCTTCTCTCCGTTCCTCCAGCACTCACTGGAGGGGGTGGGCACAGCTGGCTCTGACTCTAAAGAGGCAGAGCCAGCTGTCAATCAGGCAGCCAGGTGGATCCTGACAGTACTGTGCTGTCAGCATATAGCGGGAAGTAAAGCCCAAAAAAACTTTTTGCATTAGTTTTCTTTGAAGATATATATAGTGTTGGAGATAAACAGATGAACATCACTGCATTTTATTACAGTTAGGATATAGCCCAAAAAAGAGAAGTCGAATGGGAAAGACCCTTATGGGGAGTAGTAACATTGAACTTTTTACCTCCAGTCCAGGCCTTTAATCCGCACTTACTATCCTGATCTTCCTTGTTACTACTCCCCATAAAGATTTTTTTTTAGTTAATGTTTAACTGGATTTTACATTATTTATTATCCATGAGAAAAACAAAACACAGAAAGTGCCTGCCCTGTGTGTTGTATTGTTTATTAACTATCGAAAAAATAGTTAAAAAAAACTCAACAAACTTGAAAACAAATTAAAAAGTTAGGTTTCTCTTAAAATCCTTCAGGATGAACCACATACAATCCTAGACACATGTAAACAGTTACTGCAGGAGATGCTGATCACTTTACCCACCAGCTCCAGTGTTCCAAATTCTTGGCTTAACACATTTCTGGGGGGCACATCCCCTTCCTCAGAGCCAGTATAACATGGACAAGCGAAGCTGCGTGATAGCTTAGCTCTTGGGTCACCTTATCTTTTACAGGGTTATCACAACTGCTACCCGCTCATAACTTCTCACCTGAGATGCCTGTTAAAAGGAGAATGGAGGTGAATCCACCCCAGTGCCCAGACACTGCTATGGACAGTTACCTGAAGGGTTAGTGCCCAACAGCTGTCTCCCGCAAGGCCGCTTCCAAGATGGCGGCCACGGCCTATCCACGTGACCAGTGGAGCCCGGGGGTTTCTGAAGTGCCTGCGCCTAGCACTGGAGGTAGGAGACCACACTATGACTCACCGTTGAGCGATCTTTCCCCGGGACTTCCCTGCTCCTTAACTTTTTCCCAGTCTTCAGACTCTGAGGACAGTGAACGCAGGCACTGCTCAAGCTGTGCCAACAAACTCACCACTGACTCCACTGACTGATAGGGAGTCCCTTCAGCCAATCAAGGGACTCCCTATAGGGGAGATTCCCCCCTCGAGCCTAACACTGACACCAGTGATGGCCCCTACATGATCTGAATCACCATCTCAGGACCCTATGGAGGCGGCAACACCCGAAGAGAGAGCTCTGTGGACTCTTATAAAGTCTATGCCCTCTTGCACAGATTTTGAGGCTCTGGCTCAATGAAATGGGCCTTGAGAAAGGACATTTCCTTAATTCGCAAACAGGTTTCAGAGGTTGAGGCCAGAGTTTCTTCTGTGGAACAAGAGGGAGCTTCACTCCACCGCACGGTTGTGGACATGACTCTTTCTCATTCAGGTTTGACCTCTCGCCTTTCACCTCCTCATTGATGACTAAGAAAATCACAGCCACAGACAGCATATCCGCATAAAGGGAAACCCTAGGGCTACAACCCCTGCGGACCTTCGATCCATAGTCCTGGGTATGTTTAACCTACTGCTTGATTGGCCTGTTCACGCAAAGAATGCTATTGATCGGGTGCACAGAACCTTAGGACCCAAAAATCCAGATGCTGTACAACCTCGTGATGTGTCACCTGCACTCTTTAACTCATGAAGAGATTCTACAAGAAGCATGGAGGAAAGGTCTGTTTAAGTTTGATGGTGCTTTACTCCATCTGTTCTCTGATGTAACCCGCAAAAACCTTGCAGATGAGGCACACACTGAAACCCTTGCTAGACGCTCTGAGAGAACATGGGCTCACTTACAAATGGGGTCATCTCTTTTAGTTACTTCTAGATTACGTCTTCTAGGTTGGACCACATATGTGATTAGTACTGCTTTGTTTCATTGGAACATTTCACAATACGTAATATTACTTACCACTTGGACTTCTGTCCCTATGTTTCCACTGTGTGATATTTTGCTTCTTTATTGCCCTTTCACAGGTTTATCATATTTTCCAGTACAATGTGGATGTACTGTATATTCTACCTTCCTTGCTGTACATATACCAGAGGATCTAGCCTCTGATCACTGCTAGGTGTCCTCGGGGTGGTTTGTGGTGGACGTACTCTTGGTTATTTGCTGTTTTACATGTTCTTACTGTAGGAGGGGAGGTGGGTGGTGGGAATGCTATGTGCCTATCCCAGGCCCCCACAGGTATGTTTTATACTATGCCCTTGTTGTGGGTCTCTCTCCTCTGAGGATTAAGGCGGTCAAGGTAGGATTAGCTTTGTTGCTCACAGCTGCTTACACCAGTATACCCCTTTCTTGGACCCGTCCTTTCTATGTGCCCAAGGGGTCTCAAACTGAGACAGCTTTACCCCAATCTTGCAGCTGTCTATTGTTATATGATTAATTTGCATTTTACTGTTTCACATTGTCTTTCTCACTGTTCACTATTGGTCCGGGATTCTGAAGTGCATCTTCGTCCAGGAGACTAAAAGTAATTGTTTAGAGGCTTGGTTCTCCCCTGTTATCTCCCCTTTCTGTTATCTATTTCTTTCCTCCCACTGCTTCTTCTATTCTTTTCTCTGTCCTCTTCTCTCCCGCCCCCCCCCCTTTTTTTCCCTCCCTCTCTCTCGCCTTCCTTCCCTCCTTCCTCTCCTTTTCCTCCCCACTCCCGTGCTTGTCCAGAGTTAGCAGTGATCTTTGATCCACAGGGACAGTGCTAGTTATGGAGCTTAAGGTTGTATCTTGGAATGTCAGGGGTCTCAAAAACCATGAAAAACTAGCCTCAACACCCATGCTCCTAGCTAATTTATGGAAAAAAGGAGCATATCGTCTTCATACAAGAGACACATTTCAGAACAGATAAAATTCCCAGATTACATAACCATCGTTACACTATAGCACACAATAAATCCCCTTCTGCGAAGTCAAAGGGGGTTAGCATCCTCCTTGCAAAATCTCTTCCATTGCAATACCTAGACCTAGTCTGAAATTAGGGACATGGAAAATCTTACAGCAACCATGAGAGATCAGACTGACAAGTTTATATAGATCTGGTTCTTTTGGGATCAATGTGCCCTTTAACCTAAATATGCTACTTATATGATACTTCTCCACTGTTTGGTGGCTCCCAGTGTGCCCCTGCTTATCCTCCGCATGTGCCCCTGCTGCGATCCTCTGCATCTGCTCTGTGAGACCCTACTGATCCTCCGCATCTGCCCTGCTAATCCCCTGCATGTGCCCCTGCTGATCCTCCACATGTGTCCCTTCTGCGATCCACCACATGCTCCTGCTGCGATCCTCCACATCTGCCCTGCTGCAATCCTCCGCATCTGCTCTGTGTGACCCTCTGCATCTGCCCCTGCTGAGAGCCTCCACATCTGCCCCTGCTGAGACCCTCCACATCTGCCCCTGCTAAGATCCTTCACCTGAGACATCAGGCCAGCACCCCGGTGCAGAGCTATTATACTATTATGCATTGCTGGAATTTGTAGTCCTCTATAGCCGGTGGTTTTATTCTGCATTGTTGTGAAATGTATTGCTGGGATTTGTAGTCCTCTATAGCAGGTTGTCATTCTGCATTGCTGTATACTATGTTGCTGGGATTTGTAGTCCTCTATTGGGGTACAGGTAGGGATGCACTGATACTCAGGGAGTACTAACGGTCCAGAGGGTAGTGGGGCGCAATACTTGCCTTGCCCCAGGCGCTGACAACCCACGCTACACCACTGCCATCACTGGTTTGCCGTGTATTGGTTCTGGTCTGAGGTTTGCCATGTATTGGTCCTGATCTGAGGTCGCCCGCATTGGTTCTGGTCTGAGGTCCGCCATGCACTTGTTCTGGTCTGCAGTCTGCCGTGCATTGGTGCTGGTCTGAGGTTTGCCATGTGTTGGCTCTGATCATGAGCGGACTGACCATTCGGACAGATTGACCATTCAGGGGCCTAACCGCACGCACCAGAGTGGGGGGGGGGGGG